TGTGTAAGGTCAGCCTGACTCTAGACTAGTTTAAGAGGTGTTCAGCCAGACTTCAGAAAGGAAGTTTCCCTTTTCTTCTCTGTTGTCATGGTACCAACCAAACTCCTCTGGATAGCTGTTTGTTTACTTGAATGAGTGAATAAATAAATCTGGCGGAGAACCAATCAAGAGAGCGCCACTACTGGTCCAACATGACTCCAACATGGTACAGGGACTTAGAGAGGGTGGGAGCCAGAGGGAAGGACAGACCCGACAGGAGAGTCTGTCCCTTGCCGGAAGCTGACATGTGATTAGATATAGGGAAACTGAGTTTTAAAGTCTGAAATCTTGGCATCTTAAAAATAAGAAAGAGGCCGGGCGGTGGTGGCGCACGCCTTTAATCCCAGCACTCGGGAGGCAGAGCCAGGCGGATCGCTGTCAGTTCGAGGCCAGCCTGGGCTACCAAGTGAGTTCCAGGAAAGGCGCAAAGCTACACAGAGAAACCCTGTCTCGAAAAACCAAAAAAAAAAAAAATAAGAAAGAGGCCATCATCATTAAGCAGATTATTTGAAGTCTAAGAGGTGAGATGCTTGAAAAGCTTGGAAGGCAAGACATGGGGGTCAGACAGACTGTAAAACTGGGAGTCAGAGATCAGCTAAGAGGGTGCTTTCACTAACAGACCATTAAAATAGCATTTTGCTGCCCACCCCCACATGGCGTGGGCAGGGCAGAAGATACCCAAGAGGCCCCGCCCACCCCCACATGGCGTGGGCAGGGCAGAAGATACCCAAGAGGCCCCGCCCACCTCCACATGGCGTGGGCAGGGCAGAAGACACCCAAGAGGCCCCGCCCACCTCCACATGGCATGGGCAGGGCAGAAGACACCCAAGAGGCCCCGCCCACCTCCACATGGCATGGGCAGGGCAGAAGACACCCAAGAGGCCCCGCCCACCTCCACATGGCATGGGCAGGGCAGGCACCATGATGATGAGCCAGTATGTGGTCGAGATGAGAGAGAGAAGCAGGACAGTTTGTGTACTATGAAGAGAGGCGGAGCTAGAGGCGCTAGGGTGAGGAACATGATGTGAGCAGTCTGCACTACCACCGGAGGCCATGGTGATGGCCTGGCCCATGCTGGGTCCATGGCCCTGCAGCATCAGGGGTCTGGGTCAATGTCTGTGGTGGCCCATGTTACCACCAAAGGTCATGGGAACATCCCTGGTCTGGACTGTTGCCTGGGGCCATGTTAATGTCTGAGGGCTGTACAGAGCTGGCCCCGCCCCTCACCTGGGCAGTGTGAGAACTGGCCCCGAAGTGGTGAGAGCAGGTGAGCTGGTTCCACTCCTCACCTGGGCAGCACAGTAAAACTAGCCTTGGCGGTCAGGGTGTAGGAGAGCGGGAGGGCTGACCAACTCAGCTACCATCCAGGCCCAGATCCAGGGCTTTGAGTTGGCCCACTCCTACATCTACCCCATTGAAGACTGCTAGAGCATGTAAAGAGACCGGTCCTGCAGAACCAAAGCTGCAGGGTCTCCATGACACAGGGCAACAACAGGAAATCTGACTCCAGACCCGGTGAGGATCCAGTATTGATGGTGTAGCAGAAGCCGGAGGCCTCGAACCAGACCAATGACTCATTGCAATGAACATTTGCAAGTAAAGCTCTTTGGGCAAAAGGTAGACTGTGTGACACACCATGACACACCACAGCTACCATAGCGAGACTGTTTGTTTTCTTTTGGAAATTCACAAAGAATCAATAAAAAGTTTAAAAAACATTATTTCATGGGGGTTGTAGAGACAGCTGGGTGGTTATGAGCATTTACTGTTCAGTCATAATTATTGTAGTTCTGTTCCTAACACCCACGTCAGGTGGCTCACAAATACCTGTAACTCCAGCTCCAAGGGATCCAATACCCTCTCTCACCTCTGAGGGCACCTGCACACACGTGTGTACATATACTCATACCAACACAGACATGTGCATATACACACAAACAAATCAAATCTTTAAAATTATTTTCATTATATATATGAGAAGACAGGAGCCGCAGGACTTCAGGAGACACGGTCCTAAGTAGAGCCAGTCGGAGAATCCGGGAGAAGATGAGAGGACAGCCAGTGAGGAGCAGGAGGGGAGTGCGCGTCTGAGAGACGCTCGGGATGGAGGTGTCCAAGTGCAGAAGAGATGGGTCTGGGTAAACAAAGCGCAGAAAGAGAGAGGCAGACCACCATGGCCCCGGCCAACACCAACGACTGACATCACTGGGTGCTGAGTGTGGCCAGGCACTGTCCTAAGGGTGTTTGCATACGGTATACAGCCGTCTCAAGTCTCTGGGAGACAGAGCAGCCCTATCTCACAGGGCAATGAAGGGCAAAGGAGAGCAGGCATTTGCTGCAGGTCACCCAGACGGTGAGGGGCTGAGGCAGGACACAACCTGCTGCAAACTCAGGCCACACTGCTCTTCACTGAGGACCAGGGATGAGGAAACAGCCTGAGAAAGGTCCTTCTGGGGACGAGAGACAGAGGTCACAGGACATGAAGGACAACAGAAGTGTGTGAGACCCCGCACACTGATGGCCACATTGCCTGGCGCCCCCGTTCCTCTTCTTTGATTAGTCCTCAAAGGAGTTGCCTTCCCAGTTGCTAAGCCTGGCTGGAATGACTTGACCTGGCAGAAAGGGCAAACTTCCCAGGCTGTCAGCAGCAAATACAACATAAAATGCTAATATTTAAGTGTTATGGTTTGTGGTAAGCATTGTACAGCTCCCAGTGAGCCTTGCGTTGCCGAAAACAACATGTTTTTCCCTTTGGCAGCAAACACTAGGTATCACCAAGCCATTTTCTTACTCACGCTTTAGGTGTCACTAAACACGGTCCTTGCTACCATCCAGAAATTTTCCTGTGCATAGGGAAGCGGTTTGCACACAAAAATCTTTTCTGAGAGTGGGGAGACAGTTCAGTGTGCAAAGTCCCTGCCATGTAAGCAAGAAATTCTGAGTTCAGATCCCCAGCACCCACAGAAGCCAAGTGGGGCAGTGTGTGTCTGTAAACCCAGTGCTGGGGATGGGGTGGAGACAGACGGACCCCAGGACACACTGGCTGGCCAGCCTCACCAAATAGCTAAGCTTCAGTTTCCGTGAGAGATGGGATCTCCAAAACTCATGTTCACAGTGACCACAGAAGGCACCTGGGGTTGAGTTCTGGCCACACAGATGCACACACACACACACACACACACACACACACACACACACACACACACACTCTCACCAGATGTATAAACACCATACATACAAATACACACAAACATTTCATGAAGAAAATTTTTGTAAATAATTATTTTAAGCAATTAAATGCTTTTTTCTGTATAAATATTGGATTTTGTGCAATTTACAGCATATAGCAAACTGCTAAAGTTGTTTTGTTGCCACGTTTTAATGCTATCTGCTAAGGACTCCTTCAGGACAAGGCCATTTGATCACATACTGATATGTGTTCCCATCAGGTTATGCAGTCTCTTTGACAATTTGTCAAAGTGAGCAGTTTCATATTTTAATTAAGCATGACACCCGTCAATTAAGGTCCCTTTTCCAGGCAGAATTATATGACAGGCCTTGCTCCCAAGTTAAGTAACTTCTAGTCAGTTAAATTATAACTGTTGGGAGTGGGTTGTTAAAATTCCTCAGGTTATTTTCCTCAAATACAGTGCTACGGCACACCCATCTATCATCTCCTGCTGTGGGAACTGGTTTTAAGCTCTTCAAATCCCTCTTTCCCCATGTGTCTGCAGTACTGAGAAGTAACGGTCAGGTTTTAGACTGAGCTCTCCGGCTTTTCTCCCGGTCTGAATATCAATTCTCCAGCCACCCAGTTCCTCTGCTTCCTATGATTCAGCCTGGGCTTCACTGAGAGGACCCATGCCTGATCGCTGACTGACTAGTTGACTCAGGCAGGATTCACGGTTGTGGTTTCAAAGTCCTAGGATGGTCTGTGACTCGTTTTTCTCTCAGTCTCCCTACCCGAAGAAGCTGGCAGGCACCAGACAATGGTTGAAGGCGTGGTATAAGGGTTGGCTCTTCCCTGGAAAATGAACCACTGCTGTAATGGAGAGCTGAACTGTGTCCACCAAAGGTGCGAGCATGCATTCTGGTTCTAACCTCCAGTTCCAACAATGGGCTGATACCTGAAAATACTCAACGCAATTAAGATGGAGCCATCCTAGAATTTGCTGGCTATTAAGCTGGCCTGGCTGGCGTCCTTCTTATAAACATACATAGAGTGAAATCCCTAGCACTGAATAAAAAAGAAAAAGCAGACTGAGCTCTGGAGCCCGTCAACCCCTGCTTCCTGGCTACACACGCATGGAATTAGCCACTTCCGGAGCCTCCCGCCATGCCTCCCCCACATAATGGACTGTACCCCCGAACTGTGAAGCCCTTTCTCTTCTAACTTACTTTTGTCGGGGTGTTTTAACACAGCATTAGGAACAAATAACTAATACAGCCACCATGTCTCAGCTCTTGTGCGCTGGGCCACAGTGGTTCCTGAAGACGGCCAACCCAGCCTGGTGCTCTGTGACCAATAAACCCTGCTTTGGAGGCCTGTGATGGTTACCTGTGTCAGCTTGACACCGTCTAGAATCACATGGGAAGGGAGCCACAAGGGACTGTCTAGACTAGGTTGAGACCCTTTCCAGATGACTCTACGTTATGCCGAGTTGACAATCAAAACCATCAAGACAGTGGGATCATGACACACACACGTAGCACAATCCTACTGTGACAACATGTTGGGCTAAGTGGGCAGGGCTGCTTCTGGCTTTGGGGGAACGGGTAGCCCCTCCCTGGGGCTCTGCGTGGCTCCCCTAATCTGGACGGACCAACCAATTCACCCACCAAAATCCTGATGCCCTCACAGTGAGGAGGCAGGAAGTGAAGAGGGACGATGACCAGCATGTGCACAGATGTACCTGGCTGTCCCATGACACGATCTGACACACCAGTGTACCACAGCTCACCTGCACTGCCCGCTGTCCCTGTCACACTCTGAGGTGGCCGCCTCCATGGTACCCTTCCTGGAGCAGTTGCAGACTTCGCAGCCAGCCAGGGGGTGGAAGTTGAAGGAATTCACCTCACAGACCTCACACTGAGGCCTGACTGTGCGGGGTGGGCAGAGACACTTCCCTGTCACCTCTTCACAAAGGCGTCTGCCACATTTGCAAGCTGCCAAGGGAAACAGAGACTGTATAAGAGTTGGACTATACAAACCGCTGGGATTTCCAGGCGTTTCCAAGGAGTCTGGGGACGTGTTTCCTTTTCCTTCTGTATGGGTGTTACTGTCCACGGTGATCTGAGCCAGTCACCAAGGGCTCCAGGGGAGAACAGTGTGGGGCCCCCAAGTGAGGAACGGCCAGACCAACCGGCTCTAGGTCCCTTACTCACGAACCTATCAGGCTGCTGGCCTCCCACTCTAACACGGCCTCCTGTTCAACAGAAAGCTCTAGAAGACATCTAACCGTGAATGTTGGAGACACTCTGAAGCAGCTTCGCAAAGCACCCAGGTCCAGGGTCAGCGCATCATGCAGCAGTGACATTGCTTTGTTTATTCAGACACAGAGTGGTCCCCTGTGGTGCTCTGTCTGCACACCTGTGGTCTCACGCCACTTACAGCATGGGCTGAGCCAGAGCATCAGGCCACAGGTGATTCTTAAGTAAAAATACGGGGTTTCTAAGTTAGTGGATAATACACCCATGAGACCTTGAATGTTCTGTCTAAACTGAGTTTTCACTGGGCCACACAACCTGAAAGGACTTTTGAGAGAGAGAGGACTGGGCTGTCCATGTGATGAGTATATACTCACATTTCTATTTATAGCCCAGAGCCTTGCCACTCAGAGTAGAGTTTGTAGACGTGTGCTGTGAGATAGCCTGGGTATTTATTAGGAATGCAGTTTTAGGCCCAGACTAGGTCTCTTGAATCAGGACTTCATCACAAGCCCCAAGGTGTGTGTCCAAAACAACGACACCTGAGGAGTCCTGCCGTGCACGGGGTTCATCCTCTGGGGACTAGAGAAGGCGTCAGAAGCCTGGCAGCGTCACTTACGCTTGCAGTGTGGGAATCCATAGTGACCTGCTGCACAGCGGGTGCACTGCCTTCCGATGATGTTGGGCCGGCAAGGGCACTGCCCGCCCTCAGGACTGCAGTGATGGCTGGTAGCCCCAGCTGGGTGGCACTCACAAGGCAGGGCACCGTTATGGTAAAAGGCTACCAGGGACCTCGCAGAATTCTTACAGAATCCAGAGGCTGCCTGAGGACTGAGAAAACAAAAATAACTCCTGGTGATAACCTGGGATATGTGTTTATCCTCAACTTCCCTTTCCCACTAGTTATACCCAGCAGCATCTGGCGGGGGGGCGGGGGAGAACAGGGGCACAGGATGCCGAGCACTGGAGTCTGGGAAGAAGTGGAAAATGACCCCACTGTGGATTCAGCCAGTGACAGCCACTCTGTCCCCAACATCTGCTCCAGGAGAAGGCATCACAGGAATGGCCAGTGGGAACATGGTGAGGCAGCTGCAGGATGAACTGTGTGGTGTGTGAGTTAGAGCTTGTGGAAAGATAATGAAGGCTAGATGATGTGCTAAGAACCGTCAGCTACATCTCAGCCTTACAACCATCCAGCCCGTTGGGTCATTTCACAGATAAGGTACCTTAGCTGTAGGGTGACGCTCCTGAGGATGAGAGGTATGGAGTGGATGAGATGTCATTTAAATCCACAGTGGTTTGGCTCTGGGGCCATACCTTTTACTATCACTATACAAGAAGAGACCATCTTCAGGGTCTCTGGAGCTCCTGGCTCCTTCTGGAAGCTTCTAAGGGGCACTGAGTTCCACAGCGGGGCATGTATTGGGGCTGGCGTGCTCTTAGCACTCAGGAATGAGAGAAGACAGGGTACAGAGGGCACAGCTCTGGACAGTCCCCATCATAACGGTGAGTGGGGCTCTGGGCTATGACCCTGTCAGTGGAAGACACCCTGTGTGGTATCTTTTAGGATATACAGTAGTAAATGGGGATTAGCCAGGAGCAAGGGATTCTTCTAATTGGTCCCTAATCATGAGTTGAGGGTAGACCTCTGCTGAGTTCAAGGCTGAGTGTGGTCACCTTGCCCAGATGGTACATGGCGAGGTCTCTCATAAAGTGGTGGGCACAGAGGAATGACAACACCTTCCCGAGACTCCAGCCTCACTACTCTCTTGGGTGGTGAGAAGAAGCAGCCAACTCCAGGCCAATCTCTCTCCAGACCTCACTTTGGCTGGGAATGAGCATGCCCCGTGCACACCAGAGCCCTCCCACAAAACGACACTTACTCAATATAAAAACTGTCTCCTCCACAATTGCTGATAAACTCAAAGGACTTGTCCACTGATGTTTTGTGAAGTATTTGGTAGTCATAATTCTCTGCGGGTACCACTAGAACCCGGACCTAAAAGAAAGGCATCAACCCATGACTAAGGCCAGTGAAGGAGGAAGAGAATGACCCCACATCCTTTCCTGTTTATCCAAGTGCCAGTAAGGTGGGATTTCAAAGGAACCACAGCAGGAAATTCGAGGTAGGGGTAAAGGCTCAATGCAGTTGCTAGGAAACAGTGGGTATAAGCGGGGCTCTGGAAGCACCTGCTCCAAGGAACAAGGAATAGCAGCATTGAGTGGTGGTTGGTTCAAGGTACCCTGTAGACTTGCATCCCTAGCAGAGCCTGTTATGGTTGCTGGGGCAACATGTGACGAATGCCTGGGACTCCCTGATTTTCCAGTGGTCATTGCTTTATAGTTTTAAAAGTAAGCAAACTGAAGTTGCAGAACTAACAGGGAACCCAAATAGGCCTTCCTCTGAAGTTTATTTAGTACTTGTGGTTTAAATGAGAATGTCCTGTGCAGCTCTATTTAAACACTCCCTAGCTGGCAGCACTGTCTGGGGAAGTTCAGGAGGTGTGGCCTTGTGGAGGATGGATGGGGAGGCTCAGGAGGTGTGGCCTTGTAGAGGATGGATGGGGAGGTCCAGGAGGTGTGGCCTTGTGGAGGATGAATGGGGAGGTTCAGGAGGTGTGGCCTTGTGGAGGATGGATGGGGAGGTTCAGGAGGTGTGGCCTCGGGGAGGGTGGGTGGAGATTCAGGAGGTGTGGCCTCGGGGAGGATGGATGGAGATTCAGGAGGTGTGGCCTCGGGGAGGGTGGGTGGAGATTCAGGAGGTGTGGCCTCGCGGAGGGTGGGCAGCACTGGAGGCAGCCTTTGAGAGCCCAGTGTGTATGCACAGTCCCCATTCCTGCCCCCTGTTTCCTACTTGTGATTCAAGAAGAAAGCTCTCAGCATCCTGCTGCAGCCACAATGCCTGCTGCTTGTCACCATGCCTCCATCCATGATGGATGCTTATCTCTGGAACCACAAGCCCCAGTACACCCTTCCTTCTGTAGGTGGTCCTGGTCATAGTGTTTTTATCACAGCAACAGAAAAGTAAGTAATACAGAATAACTGTAGCACGATTCAGTTCTCCTACACCTGTACAAGCGGCAGCACTCACAGACCCTGAGGGAAGGCTCGATGTCTTTAACAACTGTTTACCAGCTAACAGCTGACAGAGAGGACTTCGTTCTCCTGTGCTCCATAATCATCTGCTGAGCACCACGTGCCTGGCAGTGTTCTAGGCACCAGGGATATAAAATGAATACCCTGTACTCTGGAATGATAGTCTCCTGTGTGTGTGTGTGTGTGTGTGTGTGTGTGTGTGTGAGAGAGAGAGAGAGAGAGAGAGAGAGAGAGAGAGAGAGAGAGAGAGAGAGGGAGAGAGAGAGAACGAGAACACAGGAACAAACAGGAAGGCCACAGAGCAAAACCCAATAAACTCTTCCTGGTTTTTTTTCTAGACATCCTTAAGGAAAAGGTGAATTAACTCTAAGCTAGGCTCATTGGTGAACAGGATTTTGTCAGGTACAAATGTAGACAGAAGATTCTAGAAAAGAGCACAAGAAAGCCTGCTGGCATTGTCAAAGATGGCATATCTATGAGCTTTGAATGATGATTATGGTCAGATAATGGAAGGGAGAGCATGGAACAGAGGAGGATGAATGAAAGGTGAATTAGAAGTGTGGAGGGGCCCCAAAACGGCTTGACCACACAGCTGCCATGAAAGGCCTAGAGGCCCAGACACAGCTTCTGTGACAGGCTTACTGGCAGGCAACACCCAGATCCAGGAAAAGCCATAAGCTGACACCACCCGGGGATCCACCCAGGGTTGAGGAAGTACCTGATATCCCAAACATTCCAACCATTAGATAAGGTGGCCAGATGTCCCTGAGTCTAGCACATGCCTTTTTCTTGTTTTACAAATACCCCTAGACAAATGTCAGCCAATCAGGGTCCTGGACCCTGGAAATCCCCTCACCTCAACCTCTGCTATGATAAAAACCCCACCCTGCCTAGGCTCAGGACTCTCTGCTCTCACTGCTGCATCAGACAGAGAGTCCAAGCTCTGCGCTTGAAGAGAATAAAGGCTCTTTGCTTTTACATACAGGATTTGGTCTCCATGGTGGTCTTTTGGGGGTCCCCAAGATCTGGGCATAACAGAAGCAGGCAGGAAGGGCCATGAATTCCAGAGTGAGGTGAATGGACCAGAATAAAGTGGATAGACCAGAGAGGGGCAGTAAACAGAGCAAGGATGTGGGCCAGGGTGAAACAGGTTCAATAATAGGGACAGCACAGAGATCTGGAAGCAGGCCAGGCCAAGTCAGAGGGGACCCTGGATGGGTGGAGATTGGGCCTGGGGTTCAGGCGAGATCAAGAGTGAATTCAGAGACATGGGTGATGTTCCCAAAGCAGGGAGCATACTTAGCAGGCATGATGAACACAGAGAAATAACACAGGGGTCTCAGAGTGGAACCTGGGGGCACACGAACATATGGACCAGGGTAAGGGAATCACTAAGGGGGACAGGAGAAAGGGACAGAAAGCAGCCAGGAGGCTAAAAACTTCAGAGAGGGGCCAGCAGGGGCAAGGAGTAAGCACAGGTGGGGACAGGGATTCTCTTGGCTTTGATTGTCTCGTAGTTTCATTTTACGGGTTTGTAAAACACACTTTTCTACAAGTCATCAACTCTTCCATTAAATAGAATTAATTCCTTGGAGAAAGTATTGGCCGAAGCCTAACACACAACGGCTGGCCAAGGAACGCGGTCGGCTAAGCAGAACGCACCAGCTTTAGGGACTTTCCTTCCGGAACCGTCACAGTCACAGCTACCTCCGCTTCTGAGATGTCAAACTCCACCTGGCCATGGGAGAGCACTTGGTCCCGGCAGCCAAGTAAATGAGGGCAAAAGGAGGCCAGGAAGGAGCCTGGAGAGGGAGAGACGCTGCTGTCACATGGCCGCAAGGACGACACCCGCTGTCACATGACATCCGGCACATGTGGTGGAGCCTGCTCACGGCTGCTCACCTGACCACCGTCTTCCTCCATCCACAAACACCTCTGTGGGAAATGTCGGGTGTTCTGCTTGATAGAAATGGATGACAAAGACGTGTCGGCCCAGGTGTGGTACGAGTCCTCTCAGGGTTACTTGATTCTAAGAGGGGAAAAAGGGGGTGGGGGGAAGGAGCTCTCAAACTGCAGAACTTTGAATGATCAGGACATGAGATGTTGCTATAGTTGGTTCCTGCAAAGACTCGTGGCGAGACTTAATTCTTCAATGCAATGTTGGGGGGCAGGGCTTAAGGGAAGCAGTTAGATTACGGGCCAGAGCCTTTGTGAACAGACTAAAAACATCTGCAGAAGTGAGTTCTTCCCTCACAGGGTGGGGTCAGTTACCACGAGAGTGAGTTGTTAGGAGGCACAGCTGCCTTTGCCCCTCTTCTCTTGAAAAGTGACCAATTGCTACTGGAATACAAGCTCCGTCCACGTGGCACCTTCAGCCATGTTATGATCCCACAAGATCCTTCCAGTTAGGATTCTGCCGCTCCTCCAGCTGCATGACTGCACATGCGCAGTTCAGTAGCCAAGCAAGGGGTCTTACGTCTTACATCATCCATGCGCTGCGTGATCACACAATGCGCACAGCACAGTCACGCAATCTGTGCATGCCTGCCTAGCTCCGTAAATCCACATGCGCATGTGCAGGGGGAATCCTTAAAAAGCCGGTCACAGACTCCTCCCTTCTCTTCTGCTCTCTCCTCCTCCCCTGTCTCCCTTCTCCTCACCTGTCTCTTCCCAGGCCTGGCCCTTCTCTCTTCTGTTCCCCACCCCCCAATAAAGCTCTGATACTGGGTTTTGTTGTGCCTCGTGACCTTTCCTCACAAAGTAAAAGCACCGAATTTAAAACCAACACTTACCAGATTATAGCTACCTGATCTTGTACTTCCCAGTCCCTAGAACCATGACCTAAGTAAACCTCTTCTCTATAAATTATCCAGCCTCAGATATCCTGCTACAGCAACTATACAAACAGGTTGAAAGCCTAAAACAAGCTAGGTATTTTAAATGGCAACTGCTATATTCCTAGAGAAGCCTTCACATGGGTGTTTATAGAAGTTTTAATTTGCAATCACACACAACAAAAATTATATGCAAACCAAATGTCTCTCACCTACAGAATAGAGAAACTGAGGCACAACCCACACATTTGGTGGGGGTTGGGGGAGTAGGTTGGTTAGTCATGTTGGAAAACTGGGTATTTATCAAAACACATGACACAGCAGTTACATGCCTGGGTACATCCCGAATGTACAGAAATGCACAGTACGTTTGCAAAGAGCTAGACAAGCACCCTGCCGTGGTGGGGTGCAGAAAGCAAGCAGTTAGCAGTGTGACTCAGCACACACGTAAGGAGTAGGCTTCCATTTGTGAGGAGCTTCTGGTCACATGACAAAGCCATCTGCTCTCCCTTCCCCAAGTCAAGCCATGCCTCCTGCATTCTGTCTGTGTCTCTGCAGAGTTAATAGGTGGCTTGGAGCTCTTAAAGAGTGGAGTTCCTCCCCCAGAGCAGCTGCAGGCTAGTCCCCGCTGCCCTGAGTTAGCTTCTCCTCAGGGCCTTCCTGATGTCCACTATGCTGGCTAGGTCACATGGTGCAGAACTTACCCACACCCCAAAACTGTAAGACAAGAACACTTCCCCTTTGCTCTTTGGAATTGAAGACTCTTTCCTTCAAGACCTTACCCTGCGGCCTAGGCCTACATTGTGGTGTAACTCTCCCGAAGGCCCCGCCCCTTTCCCTTCAGGCCCCACCCCCCGCCCTCCGCAGTGCTATCCCTGATGGCTCTCTCTCCTGGGGAAGCTCCTCCCCCAGCCTGAAGGCTTGCCTTCCACCTCCAGCTGTGATGTAGTAACTGTCCTAATAAAACTCCTCTGCAGGTAACTTCACCTCAGCTTCCTGTCCCGGAACCTGTAACATCGGTTACTATTTATAACAATGACAACTTTACACCTGGACAAGCTGGTGAGGAAGCTCAAGAGTCCACACCCTTGCTGTAGGGGAAGGGAGCCTCATTCTGGGTACACCCTCTCCCACTCCCCACTCCCACCAAGCACAATGGAGCCCAGAGCCACTCTGTCAGCCTAAGTGACTATTCCCTGCTCCGTTAACTCCCAAAACTACAGCAACAACACTACGCAGCAGCTGGGAATCTATCATCTTTCAAAACGAGTTTTGTGCCCTTAATTGTGCACTGGGGTGGGGGCCATGAGTACCATGGCATGCATGCAGCAGCTGGAGGGCAATTTCAGGAATCGGTTCTGGGTTGGGGGCCATGAGTACCATGGCATGCATGCAGCAGCTGGAGGGCAATTTCAGGAATCGGTTCTGGGGTGGGGGCCATGAGTACCATGGCATGCATGCAGCAGCTGGAGGGCAATTTCAGGAATCGGTTCTTGGTTGGGGGCCATGAGTACCATGGCATGCATGCAGCAGCTGGAGGGCAATTTCAGGAATCGGTTCTGGGGTGGGGGCCATGAGTACCATGGCATGCATGCAGCAGCTGGAGGGCAATTTCAGGAATCGGTTCTGGGGTGGGGGCCATGAGTACCATGGCATGCATGCAGCAGCTGGAGGGCAATTTCAGGAATCGGTTCTCTCTTTCACCGCATCCCAGGGATGGAACTTGGGTCATCAGGCTGGTTGGCAAGAGCCTTTTTAAACCTTTGGGAGCTGTCTTGCAGGCCTCTCTCCATCCTTCAAGTGAGGGCTGCAAGTTGGATAACCAACTTTCTAATGTGATGGCAAAACCAGGGCTTCGTTTCAGCTTTTTTTCCCCTTAGCTACAAGATCTCCTATGAGAATGTCTGACCCCCAAAATTTCCTTTCCCCCAAGTCTGGCATTTAGATAAAAGCCAGCATTCCCTCAGGGACTTGAGAAAATAGTCCCTACCTGCTGAAAGGAGTCATTTCTATTTATCTCTGGCAAAAGGGACATTGGCCTCTTCCATTAACCTGTGTCTATTAGCATATCAAGGTCCACGCTAGCCTCTAGACTCCTTCAATACCTACTCACAAGTACCTGCTCTACACTTCAAAGACCTCCACCCCAGCAAACTGTCTCACCCCTGATGTGTGCCCCCCCTTCCCTTAAACCCTGGAAACTCCCCCACCCCTCCCACTGTTCTCGTGTTCCAGAGACAGCCTGGGTGGTTTGGAATAAACTTCTCACCCACAGACCAGCTATTTTGGTGTCTTTACTGCACCCATTTCATTCAGGGAACTTCCTCAGTTTCCCCCTCAGATAGTATGAATTTCCAAGGCCGCTGCTAGGTGATCTGCTAGAGCCCTGGTGGGTTTACACAGATGTTCAGTATGTTTCCATAATTTGGAATGTTGTGATGGCTTCAGTGATCCTGAGATTTTTTTTATGGCTTATGGTAAAAACATTTCATGACCTTACTAAATTTTGCTTCCCAGCCCTAGATGATAATTGGAGAATGTTTATTGAGAATTCCCCACCTAAATGGTCCTGTGTTGGTGCAGTAGGGGACGCCTAACGGTTTACTGACTGCACCAGCTCTTCTCACAGTTCTACAGTCCATCTTCGGAAGAGAACTAATACTCCACAACGTCAAGCAGCTGCCTCCTATGAACACAATAGGGACTGCAACACCGGCCATGAAAACTTGCTGAGCGGCCATGTGGACAGAGACAGAGGGGAGGGAGGCAGGAGTGGTCACAGTCAGGGCTACCCAGGCTCCGCTCCAGCATTGCTCAATGGTCCACAGCCAAAAGTGGAATTTCCCACATTTCAGGGGGCTGGGAACGGATAAAAACCCAGATGACTGGCCCCACTCCAGAGCCTGGGATGAAGGAGGTTTTGGGGAGGGCCTGAAAACATGCACCCCAAACAAGCACCAGGGTGAGGTGGATGCTGCTTGGTGGGGGTGGAGTTGGGAGTGCGTGGGGGTGGGGTGGTGTATGTGTGTGTGAGTGTGTGTGACACACTCTGAGAACCACTGGTCTAGAAACCACACACTGGGGGGGGGGGGGGTCATTCCTACCTGTGGTGCCTTCAGGGTAACTCCGTCAGTGACATCCGCAGGAGGGGAAGGCTCCTGAGGCAGGAGAGGGAGAGGGCCCCTATTCCGAGCATCCAAAACTAAGGCTGTTGGAGGAGTTTCATGGGCCAGGGAGACACAGGTGACACTAAAGAATAGAACACTTTAAAATATGGTTGTGTCATAACAAACAGCAGACACTAAGTAACGGCCGATGGCAAAGAACAGATCAGAGGACCCATCGAGGGTGGGGTCTAGGAGCTTCAGGGCTAGTGCGGCCGGTTGGCCGCATGTTCCAGGCACCTGCTCAACTGGGTAGTTAAAACAGAAAGAAGATCTTCATTTTAAAGTAACACATGCGACAGAAATTTACTGTCACTTCCTTCTCCCCGAACAAAAATTAGTTAATAAAACGAGATCTCTCTGTAGGAATGCTGACGTGCGAGGCAAAGGGGTGTCCTTTGTTTCACGGCTAAAATGGCACTGTTCCCGAGTCCTAACCATGCACACAAATTTCCAGGGCTGAACCCTTTTAATTATTTTTGGATCTACAGCAAAACAACACCCCTAGAAGCCCCGGTGAGCACTAATTAGCTAGTCCTGATGTCACAGCGTGGAGATGGATCATTATTTCTGTGGTTTTTCAGAAGAAGAGCCTAGACGCAGAGATTAAAGGATTGGAACAGAGCGAGGGCTCAGAGGAGAACTTGGCAGACCTGCACTCAAGGAGCAGGCTTAACCGTCTGTGTGCATATGTGTCTGTACAAATGCATGTGTACATGTGTGTGAAGGGGTGAATGCTTGTATGTGTGAGCAGAAACAAGAAGACATGGGCATCCCTCTCTATCTTTGAGGCAGGGTCTCTCCCTGCGCTTGGGGCTTGTGTGTTCTTGGCTAGCCTGGAAGCCAGCAAGCCCTCGTAATCATCCTATCAATGCCCACCTGGAGCTGGGCTTGCAGCTGTGTGCAGGATGTCCAGCCCAGCCTGTACACGGATGCTGGGATCCAAACTCCAGTCCTCATGATTGCGTAGCAAGCTCTCTTAACTGCTGAGCCAACTCTCCAGCCCCACGGCTCTTCTCTTTTTAACATCCCATAGTAGAATAAACATCAGTGTCTTGCCCCATATTGCAGTTAGGCAATGCTGAGCACCCCAAATCCCACACCCCAAGTGCTCTCAAATATGAACCATCTTGAGCACCAACATGATGCCCCAAGTGGAAAATTCCACTGGTGACCTCTTATGATAGATCATAATCCAAACAGAGGCACACCAGCTACTGTATAAATTTAGCCACAGGTGATGTGAAAAGCTACATGTGATCTATAATACGTTTCATGTTTAGGCTTGGGTCTTATCCCCAAGATATCTTATTATGTATTTGCAAATGCTCCCAAATTCAAAGTTCCCGAGTGTTGTAAAATGACGCATAGCGGCCTCAGCTGGTTTGAGCCAAGATGAAAAGACAGCCACTCCAGAAAATTACACCATGCAGACGCAGCATCCACGTGGAAAGTTTTATTATTAAAGGGGGAGGAGAGGGAAAGAGAGAGAAAGAGAAGGAAAGGGAAAGAGAGAAAGCGGAGGTAGGTGCGTGTAGCCTCATGGAAGGAGAGAGGGGGAGAGGAAGAGAGAGAGAAGGGGAAGAGGTTTTCTCTTAAAGGAGACTTTACCTTAAGGTGACTTGGTCAGGACACGGGGGTGGGGGGTAGGGGGGGTTGTGGGAAGTGGGGGGGGCGGGGAGGCGGTCCCCAAGGGGCGGGCGTGAATGCTAACATTCCCTAACACCGAGCATTTCAGAGACGCGAGCCTGCATAAAGTTTCATACTTACATATACCACACAATTGTTCAGAGTGTTGACAAGGAAGGAGGAGACACATTACCTTGGATTAGCACGCGGCCTGTAGCTGGCAATACAGTGGACTTGAGGCCTCAAATATTCAGTTGAGAATTCTTCAGTGGGTATGACACAAACATGATACTGCCAAGCAAATGATAAAGACGCACAGCAGTTATCGGCAAAAAACCAGTGGTCCGCCACACTGTTAAAAGCAGTTATTAAGTGAAGAACTCATCCAGAAAATGGATATTATTATTTTAAAGTAGTAAAATTGCAGGATGGCGAGCATGTAGCACCCCCACAGGCAAGAGATCCCTCTTCTTGTTACACAGGATCACTGACTACACTGTTGTGGGAATAATTTTACAAATAAGTCAAAGAACAAAATCACGGGAAAGTTCAAGATCTGCTCTGTTCAGGGGCCTTTGGTGCTTCTTTTTTCTCTCCTAGGGCCAATGCTGACACCTGAGATGCTTCAGGAGGAGAAGAGAGAGGCAGCAGATGCCCAAAGGGCCTGCTGTTCGAAGACATGGCTGCATCTGGAGAGGAACTCACTTGATAGAGGATGTCTCGGACCTCAGCCCACTTGGATTTTGAAGGATTTGTCTCTACAGCCAGTTTCTGGGTCACATAAGAAACTCAGCCACTAACGTATCTTTTGTTAGATTTGAAGTCAGACTGTATTACCAGCTTGATGGCAGAGCAGTTCAGTAGTAACAACAAAAATGTATGGAGCATCACCAAGACTCGGTGTCTATAGGACCGAGATGGACAATGCTCTGCCTTCATGGAACATCCATGCTAGTTACCCTGACCTTCAGTGACCTTAGGCTACTTTTTAAAGGGCAAATCCACACTTAAAAAGGTTGAGTCAGTCCCAGGACAATTTCCAACAATGACAAGGTTAGATTCACAGAGGGAAAACCACCATTTCATAATAATAATTTTAAAAGTCTGATTCCAAACTATCCCTTAAGTTCCAAGTTTTTACTTACTCCTGCTAGGTTAGGCACAAATATTTAAAGCACTCCCCCCTGGCCTTCCGGGTGTGATGCGTGCTTGCTGCCAGCCGTAACAGGAAGCTGTTTCACACTTGGGTAATTTTAAATTCCCTAAGAGAGTTCATGTAAGTCTTACAATCCCTTTCCTAGAGAGACCCCATTGTTGACCACAGCTCTCACCCTCACATGGGTGGACGTGAGTATCATTTAATCTGCCCCCGTTGCATTTAAATCTTAAAAGTATATATCTAAGTAACTGAATAATACCCTTATTGGAATATAGGGTATTATAATATAACCAGTTATAAAATTTAAATAGCTGATGAAATGTCCCAAGAAACTGCATAGGATAGTAAATGGGATAGAAATGAAATGATAGCCAGTGTCATTTCTGTACCCAGACATAATAATAATAAAGTAGAAAATATAATGACAAAAGGTATTTCATTTATGATAATGATAAACAAAAATTAATGAAATGTGATTTTTTGTGGGATGCATTCAAATTTGATGGCTGAACTTTATGAGGTGACATGAAAAAGGCTGAATTTACAGATACCATGCAATTGCAGCCCATTTTTTTGTTTGTTTGTTTCTCGAGACAGGGTTTCTCTGTGTAGTTTTGGTGCCTGTCCTGTCTCTGTAGACCAAGATGGCTTTGAATTCACAGAGATCCGCCTGGCTCTGCCTCCAAAGTGCTGGGATTAAAGGCTTGCGACACCACCACCTGGCTGCAGCCCAAATTTTAATAAGCTTTTGAGAAATACAGATGACAGCAGGCAGCTTCTAAAGTTCATGGGCTAGATGAAGGCATACCAGAAGGAACTTGGCCATGTGCACCTTGAGCTCAATGTCTGCATCTGCTAACAGCTCGTACACAGCCGTACGACTCAGGCTGTCAATCACCACGCTCCTGCACAGAATGCTGCAAAAGGGAACAGAGTTTTCTTAGCCTGACACCTGGCATCTCCCTTGCTGTGCCCGACGGATCATCAGCTTTTCCTGATTGTAACTGGGTGAACCGGAGGCAATTTTCCTGTACGACAAGTCAAAAAGGGATACAGCCTACTACTGTTTGAATGATCACCCAAAACGCCTTTTGAAATGAAATTGCCACCGTGATCTCTAAAAGGTGGCGAGGGAGTGGAGACTCCACTCTGTGGGCAGATTGCTGTTACTATGGGTGTTAGAATTCTGCCCTTACTCCAGTTACATGACTGCACATGTGTAGTTCAGGAGTTAAGCAAAGGGTCTTGTGTCTTATGTCATCAGTGTACGCTGGTGATCACATATGTGTAGCGTGGTCACGCAATCTGCGCCTTAAAGAGCCGTGACGCAGACCCCACCCTCTCTCTCTCTGTTCTGCTGTCTCTCCCCACCATCTTTCCCTCTCACCGCATTGCTCCTTTCCCAGGCCTGGCTCTTCTCCCCACCCCTCTTCCTCCTAATAAAGCTCTAAAACTAACACTGGGTTCTGTCGTGACCGTGACCTTTCCACACGGTAACCAGCACCGCCACCAGCGCCATTTATCATTCATTTCAGTGAGGGTAGGTTAGCTGACATGGGAATGATTCTGTTACAAAAACAGACTCTGGTGCTCGTGTGTACTCTTGCCCTTCCCGCTCCTACCATGGAATGACTCAGCACAAAAGCCTCCCAGGAGATGCTGACTCATGCCTAGTTTCCAGAACAGTGAGAAACAAGCTTCTTTATTTATAAAGCACCAGGTCCAGGCTATTCTGCTATAGCAGCACAAGGATATTAGATTCCAATCACCGTCTCTACAGATAAGAGGACCTTTCTGTTACAGCCCCTGCTGTACCTCTCAGGACTGCTGCCCCTGCTCCCCCTTTCCACCTGGAGTGATAGAAGACATGGTTAGTCATTAGGAGAATGTATCCTGGGGCAGTGACAGCAGATCTTTTAGAAATTTACCAATATTCTTTGGACATTCAAGGTACCCAGCAGTAAACACAGCTGGCTTTACTAACATGGGGAAGGGTAAGCCAGGTGATCTTCAAGGCTGAGTCAGTTTTCTCCCTTAGTCCCTTTCCACTTCTACCCCTGGCTCCCACCCTTCCACTCCATAGGGTTAGAGACCATTTTGAGACCATTTTTTAAAAGTCACCATCTTGCAGCATGAACTCCAACTCTGATGGTTAGGAAGCATTATTAAGGCCATCATTAAGGCCATCCATTAGGAAGCATATTTAAGGCCATTTTCCTTTGGATATGTAGAATATGGATAGTATAAGGCTAAGACAATACGGCCACCCCAAAAAACACCAGACATGGTTTAGTCAAGGACATTTGGGTAATGACTAAAAGGAGGTAAAAATATGCAAAGAGTCAGGCAGAAGTTGGGTGCACAGATAGAAACGTAACATCTGCATCTAAGTGCAATTGAAGCAGTTCTTTTGGACTGAAGTGTTATCCTGGGAGCTTGATACATTGATTCACTTGCATTTAGTTTTATTGTTATCCTTTAAAAAGTCTCACTAAGAAACAGATGGCCATTGGTTTATCCATTACAGGTCACTGCATGATGGGGAGAAGACTTGATTTATCATCGCATTATTCTGTTTCGCTGAGATGTCGTCTTTCTAACAGAGTGGTTAGAAATCACTTGAGACGTGCAGGGGAAAGTTCAAACCTCAGCAGGAGACTGTGCAATGCTGAGCAGACCTGTCATTTAGAACAGGCCTTCCTGTATTTTTAGACTCCCACCCCTGTAGTCAGTTGACCACTGTGACCCCCGGAACACAAAAAAGGGAAATACTTTGGCCAAGCGAAAATATGCAGTGTGACTTTCCTAGGAGTGGTTAGGTACGAAGCAGGCAATCTCTAGTCTAATGTGATGCTCTCCTGTCCTAATGATAAATTTGCTAAACATACTTAGGTGTTGTCATGTGCTAAAGGATCTAGAATGTGATACAGCCTCCCTCATCAGAAAACCCGCATGGAATCCTGCAAGGGTTTTCTTTCTTTCTTTGGCTTTGTAAACCCTCCTGTCAGGCCGGGTATGGTGGCACATGACTATCCCAGCACCCAGGACATTGAGGCAGGAGGATCATAGACTCAAGACCACCCTGGGTTGCATAGCAAGACCCTGTCTTCCCAAAATATAAACTTGGGCATAGATGTTCTTGGATTCCTTCTGAGATGATCTAGAGACTCACTGGAGTGTCTATGAATATTCCTCCATCTCCTCAACACCTCCTTTTAGATTCTGTGAAAAGAAATCAAGCCTGTGATCTGAAAGATGGGAGGAATCTGGAAGCTGAACTGGAAGCTGAACTGGAAGCTGGGCTCAGATTGACAGATGGTGAAGAACCCCTGTGGCTAATACACCCAGGACTCAGGCACCTGAGGCCCTCCCCGTAGGAAGTACACATGTGGTACCGTATCATGGTATCATGCCAACTGTACATGAAACTCTTATATTCAGACACTGGTAGATGGTTCTGAGAAACTACTTCAGGCTCATCCCATGCCCTTAAAACTCATGTACAGAGCTGAGGATACAGGCCTAGTGGGAGAGTCCAGCACGTGCATGCACTGGGTTTGAGCCTTGACACTACACATACATCCAAATATGATTCTTCATTTTTGAGATCTTCATCCCTCTGCAGATTTAGGGTCACTGGGAGCATAACAGTAATCCAACAGACATTTGTTCAGGCCTCACAAAAATGCCTGTGTTCAGCTGCTGAAAGCAGCTCCTGGCATACGTTTTTTCATTTTGCACTAGGAAGACGGTCAGTTACTTCAAGTTATCTTGGGTTTGACATAAAGCAACATAAAAACCGGGTTAACAGAAGGTTGAAGGCCGTGGCCAAGGACTGGTGCGCTCACTATAGCTCTCCACTTGTGTATCAAGGGACTGCAGCTTCCGGTTCATTAATTGCACACGTAGTCTGCAAATATCCTTTGTGCTGATTCTTTAATTAAAGAATGTTCTTGAAATATTATGCAAAGAAAGTCAATTTTAGTAAGCCCTTGTCAATTAGCACTCTTGGGCAAAAATTTCGTTAGGGTAAATTTGAGAGACCTCCAAGAGACCTCCGTCCCTGCTTTTTGTGCTCAGCAATCATCAACCATTAATTATGACAGATTCTGAAGGTGGGTCATGAAGAGAGATGTGTACCTGTCATACTCTTTCACAATGCTGCCCACAGAGAGGCTCCCAAACCCTGAGGATAGTGCCTGCTAGTTTTCAAAGGCTGCCCCAAAAGGAAGTAAATCTAGTGCAGCAATCGCCAAAGTCCCCACAGACTTCCCTGCTGGGAGAATTGGGGCTGGGCTCATTACCTGTACTTGCAGCTGTATATGTTCACCTGGCCCGCCAAGGCAGACCCTGGGCTCTTCAGGTTCACGTCCACCACAAAAAGCCGGTCCACCTCCGTGGCATACTCCAGCATGATCACATAGTGGCCAATCTGTGGGACCCGCAGGCGCAGGTGCAGTTCCACCTGCCAGAGAGTAGACAGGTGGTCATCCAGATGTGCGACACACTGGACGTGTTGACAGACACAACGGCAAAGCAGAGAGGACACCCCAGGGTCTGTCTTGTCTGCATAGTACACACGTGGTCCTCCAGAGAGGATGTGGGGGAACAGATGCCCTGATCAAATTCTCAGCTCCGAGAGAGAAACATTGCATAACCACTTGTCTGGAACTTCAGAGGGTGACATGCATTCTATTTTCTAACTCTAGAGATTCTGCATCTAAGGACTTCTGTTCTCAGGGATGCTTCAGCTGCTTGTTTCTTAACAGCAAACAACAAACACTCCCAACTTGAAGTAAAAAAGAAGTGCCACAGACTGTGAGAGAGTGGAAATCTGCTTGGAGGCTTCTTAAATGCTACTTCAAGAGAGAAATGTCAAGTTAGCCGAATAAGAACAATGGAAGCAGCACACACCTCCTTCCTCCCCAGGAACGATGGCACGTGGCTTTCATACTTTCAAAGCATTTTCTGTGGGTGACATACGTGCTTCCCTCTTTTGTTTTTAAGAAAACTGGTTGTAAGAGTCAGAAATCAGGGGTGCTCTTAGGCTGTAATGACCCACAAAACTGGAAATGTCTACTCTCTGGCCCTTTCTGGGAAAAATGTGACTTTCCCTTAGGGGAATCATGAGGCAGGAGCTTGTAGTCAAAAATCCAGCTGACACTGTGTGACCTAGAGCTTCTGACTCAATGTCTGTATGCCCTTCATAAAATGGGGATCGCACTAGTGCCCTTCATGAAATGAGGATAGCATCAGCACCCTCCATGAAATGGGGATAGCATCAGTGCCCTCCATGAAATGGGGATAGCATCAGTGCCCTCAATGAAATGGGGATAGCATCAGTGCCCTCCATGAAATGGGGATAGCATCAGTGCCCTCTCAACACAGCTGAGGTTAAATAAATGCATGGAGAGTGGTTAAATCTATGTGACATACAACAATTCTTTGGAAACATTGGTGGTTCTAATCAGTGGTGGTTTTTTGTCATGATTTGTTCCTTTTGCCCAACAGAGTTTCATGGTGTGTTGTTGATTTATTTTCACACTTTTATTGGTGTGTGTAAAGATGCACCCATATCACATAAGAAAGGAGACTGGAGGTCAACTTTGATATCATTCCTCAAAGGCTACCCATCTTGTTTTTGTTTGTTTTTGAGAGAGATTTCTTACTTGCCAGGAATTCACTGAGTGGGTTAGGCTGGCTGGTGAGCCCCAACAGTCGGCCTGTCTGAACCTACTCAGCATTGATTTTACAAGCATGTGGCACCACATTCCATTTCTTTCACATGGGTGCTGGAGGTTTGAACCCAGGTCCTCATGCTTTCAAGGCAAGCACGTTACCAACTGAGCCGCCATTCCAGCCCCAGCATTTCATGTGCCTTTATCATTAGATTCATACATGGTTTATTTTCTTAATGGCTGCCTGGCATCCTATAATACAAATGAAAATTTTAAGCTAGAGAGAAGTTGCTGGGTAAAGCACAGTTTCACAAGTGTGAGGGCCAGAGTTGGGATGCCCAGACCCCACACACATGTCAGGTGGTTGTGGTGGGCTGCCTATAATTCCAGCCTGGGAAGATGGAGACAGGAGAAACCAGAGCAGGTGGCCGGCAAGGATAACCAGACAGGCGCACCCTAGGTTTGATTGAGAGACCCTGTCTCCTTAAAGGAGGTGGGAAAGTGACCTGTGGAGAATTTTAGCATCAATTTTGGGCTTCCATATGTATGCACACCCACACATGTGCCTACAAACATGTATACACACACATAATACCTGTACACACACATGAAAATCCTGTTGATGAGATAATATCCAATGTTATATCACATATATAAGCACACACATACATGTGTACACACACATCCTCGTGCTGGTGTTCTGTAAGATTTCTAGAAGCGGGACTATTTAAAGTGTGTGTGCACATTTGATGCCTGAGCCAACCGAAGAACTCCCTCCATCCCTCACTGTGTAACCATGACAACCCCAAAGCTCCCGCTCAGCCAAGCTTTGCCCCCACTTCATTAAACGGCCTCCTCTTGGCCTTCAGCAAATGGATGTGTGTTATTCATTCCTTCAGGACAGTGCTGAGCCATGTGACTCCTAGAGTCCATGCTGATTTTTCTGTCACTTATACAATGAAAGGCTTTGGGGGCAGGTGTGTGTGTGTGTGTGTGTGTGTGTGTGTGTGTGTGTGTGTGTGCACTAGCCACCCACTTTTGACTCAGTTACACAGGAAAGTCCAACTTGCCTGCCCGTGTAGAGAAGTCACTACCAGCTTCTCTCCCCAGGCATCTCCCAATGAAAGCTCGTCTGTTTCGGCTCACCACATAGCACACTGCAGTGACAAGTCCTTACTGGTGCAACTTTTACCATGGCACTCTTCTAAGTTTCTACTACCATCTGTCCGTTAGTCCTATGGACTGACATCTGTTTCAAATACATTTGATAGTAAACCCACATGAACTTGGGTAAAATGGAAATTTGATGTCTGCTCTTATAGTTATTGTTTTAAAGGGGAACTTGAAAGGACCCAGAGGCACATGGTTCTGCAGCACAGAGCTTCTCTTCGCTAGTTCCAAGTGTTGGGTAAAGACATGGAAGGTGGGGCTTCAGATCTGCTGCTCGTGCAAAGCCCAGAAGGATAAACTACCATCTCTGACGTCAAATATTTTGTCCAGCAAGTGTTACTGAAGGCCTGCCATGACTGGCTAGTGAGCATCCAATAGAAAACAAGACAGGTGAGTTCGACTCTCAGACTTGAATCAGATAATTAGGTAATTAGACAGGTACAGTTTAAGTTTCAAGTGTGGCAGATTCTCTCAGAGAGTGCCATAGAAACATGTAAGATGGAGGACTGAGTTAGTCAGGAAGATGTGTAGGAGGAGAAAGCTTCCCTGAGGAAGCAGGAAGGTAGCTGAGCATGGAGGAGAAAGGATGGAGACATACCTGGAAGGAACAGAGGAGCATCGGGCAGAGGGAGCAGCTGTGGTAGAGACCCCGACAACATGGAGGACTGAGGTAGGGCAGGGTGGCCAAGGAACAGGGGACAAGAGGTGGGATGATACAATTAGAGGTAGGAAGGACAGTCTTAGAACACGTTAAAATGTTTGACTCTATCCTAGTGTGTGTATGTGTGTGTGTGTGTGTGTGTGTGTGTAGGTCAGGAAACAATCTCAAATGTTGGGCCTTGCCATCTGTCTCGTTTGAGACAGAGTCTCTGGCTGTTTGCAACTGTATGCACCAAACTAGGTGCCTGGAAGATTTGGGGTTCTCCTTCTCTATGTCCTGTGTCACTGTAGGACCAGTATTGCAGATGTGTGCTACCACATCTGGCTTTAGGTGGCTTCTGAGATCTGGGCTCAGAACTCCTGTTTACGCAACAAGCGCTTTATCCAATGAAGTGTCTCTCCAGCCCAGCAATCAAACATTTCTGCAGATGCAGGGAAGTTAATCAGGAGAAGTTAATCCACAGAGCTGCCATGTAATATGATAGCACATGAGACTTCCTTACCCTGGCTGGGGACCAGAGATGGCTCCGATTTTGGATGCTTTCTGATTTTCCAATACTTGCATGTACAGAAGGAGAACTGTTAGCATTTGGATATGGAACAGCGTTACTCTATGAGCCATGCCCATAGGCAGCATTGTTTGGGGAAGTTCCGGAGTCTTTACACATGGGGACCTTGCCAGAGGAAATGGATTTCTGGAGGGCAGGCCTTGAGGTTTCTAGCATGACTTACTTCCTGTTCCATCTCTGCTTCTTGATCTGTCCGAATATGAGCAAGCAGCCACAGCCACCAACCACTCATGCTGCCAGTGCGTTCCTTCCTTAGCAGACTCCACCCTAAACCAAACTCCAGAATAAATCCTTTCTTGCTTAGGCTGTTTGTGTCAAGAATTTGGTCACATCAAGAAGCAAAGTAATTAATACAGGTAAATAACCGTGGGGATGAGACTAAATTTTAAATAAAAACTCTTTGGTTTCATATACAAGGCCAGCGAGTCTAGCAATGATAATATAAAAAGGATTCTTGCACAGGAAAGGAACAAGAATATCTTCAATACCTCTTCTAACTCTACAAATTTGAATTTCATTACAACAGTCTTCTGGCAAAATAATCTATGATCCATGTTGTCCCCTGGACACAGGTGATTGTTGAGATCTTGAGGTGTGCTTGATGTAGCCGAGAGACAACTTAGATACATTTCTGTTTAATTAGTAGAAGTATATATATTTCCAAGGGGCTGGCCCACCTCAGCTAGACTGCCCTGTTGTCTTATCAACACACATATATGTATATGTTCATTCTCACATGTTAAATACATGTACAAGTGAGTACACACATGCACGCGTGTGTACATGCAGAATGGACAGAAAGGAATGTGGTAAATTTTAGAATGGAGTAGAGAGAATATTCAGTTTTTCACTATATTTAACGTGTTTACTTAGTACCCTAAGTATATTGTTTAAATTAAAAATCTAACAAAATGAAATGAAGAGTCTATCCAAGAGGTAATCTTAATATCTTTAGCTGTTGACTTTAAAATGTAGGGACATAGTTTATGAAATGTGTGTACCTAAATATTTAGGAAGAATTGAGACCACAGATATTTTAACTGCATATACTTTACCCCAAAAGAAGTGTTTTCTCAGAAGTTGACTATAGACAATATTAACAAAAGAGTAAAAACAGCGGCGGGGGGGGGGGGGGGGGGGGCTGTGGTTCAGCATCTTCATTTTGGGGTCCTGCGATGCATGTTCTCACTGTCGGTGTACGGTGCAATCTGTTACCAGCACACGCTTAGGTTTGCCCGTGCGGCTCCCAGAACTCCAGGGAGAGACACAATGCCCCAACATGTACTAACATGTCCTCCCAGCCATGAGACAGAAGCCTCGGGTGGAGCAGTTCCAGATTCCAAGCCCTACAAATTCAGCTGCTACAAATTGTTGGCCTGCAGGGTTGGGCAGTGAGGACCTGCTACATCCTTTTAAGGTAAACTACTGGAGGCCTGTAAGACCGAGTCTCAGCCATTTTTTAAGGAAGACTTTGCTGTGAGTCAGGTGGGGCAGGTAAACAAAATGACCTGTGATCGTCTATGGTGGTTGTTGCTACATCTAGAAAGTGCTTAAAGAAAACCTCAGCACAGCTCATATGGAGGATACTTCAGTCCCAGTTCAGATCAGAGCACCTGGGGATCAATACCTCTGAGAAACCCTTCTGGGATTGGAGAAGCAGCCCTGGCTAAGCATTCAGCAGACACAAATGGAGACTGGAAGGCTGCCCTACCTCTCTCCCACTGAGGTCCACCATGGCTGGGTGTGCGGGGGTGGGCCGCCTCACCGCCGCGGGTCTCAGCTCCCCATCAAGCAGGAAGTGTCTGGCCTCACAAGCCAGGGTACAGGAGAACCGGGTCACTGGTAAATGCTGGTAAAGCAGACAGCTTGAATGACAGCAGAGCACAATCATTACCACATGAACGTGACACAGAATACCACAGAGCACTACAAGGACTCCGTGACGCATGGCACCGAGGCATCCTTGCACCATCTCTTCAGCAAAGTCTTAGTAAGTAGACATCTGAGGCACTGAGCACTAAGTTTTCCACACAGGATGGGAGAAACAGGTCCAAGACCCTACCCTCCATGTTAAGCTCTTCCCTTCGCCAGATGGAAGACTCTGAATGACCTTGCAGGTGTGCTGCGGCATTCCACACGCACAGGGCGGTAGCCTCTCCTAACCCAGCTGTGGCGTGCAATGTGCTTTGAGATTCTTACTCAAGCAAGGCTCAGAACAAACACTTCACAATGAAACTACCGGTCGGGCTGTCCTGTAACCATTGGGACTGGGAGGCCCACCATCATGAGCCTTTGTACTCAAGGCTCATCCGGAGAAGTCTGGCGGCATCGAGGTTGCAACCCCCCACCCCCTTTACTAACTTGTCCTGGGGAGCTCCTGTGCGTGCACACGGTTCTGTGACTGGCACTTGCAGGGCGAGTGCTTCATAGTAGTCCCGGGGAAGCAGCACCAGGTAGTCCTAGAAAGGAAGACCACAGAAAGTGTTAGTCCTCATCTAGCAGGCCTCCTTGGTAATAAAATGACCAAATGTCATTTTAAGTGAATAATGCCCCAGGGAAGTCCCTGGTGAACTTCGACTTCAGATCAGCTTTTTCGTTCCTCACCCTGACCCACCAGAACCCACAATGCCACTCTCCATCAGTTCTTCCACACTGTAGGTCAGTGCCACGGTGTGTACATTTGCAATTTCTAGATCCACAGGAAATGTTACTATATCTTCTTATAAATCCCCCCACACACACACAATGATCAAAGGAGCTGAACCACATCATTGAGATTCTCTGCTGAGGGCCTGGAGAGATGGCTCAGTGGTTAGGAGCACTGGCTGCTCTTCCAGAGGACCCTGGTTCAGTTCTCAGGACCCACATGGTGACTCACAACTGTCTGTAACTCCAGTTCCAAGGGATCCAGTACCCTCACACAGGTAAACCAATGTACGTGAAACAAAAATAAATCATTAAAAAGAAAAGATGGCCGCTGAGACGCTGGCTGCCCTCATCACTACAGAACACCAACTGTTGACCTCCGATGTGGCTTCCAGCTCCAACCCTGCTCACCGGGCATAGTGGGGAAAGTAAAGTTCTGTGATGCCGGTGTCTCGGACTGGAACAGCCTCTCTGTCTTTCCTCACAAACGAAGGCACGACTGCTCCACCAACCACGCCAAACAAAGCCTGCAGTAAAAGCAGCTAGGCATTCAGGAAAGCAGTGCTCCGGGCTCCCAGACGTGGCTGGCTCGGCAGTGTGCCAGTGATCTCAGATCTGTGGCCCCACTGCACAGAGGAGAGGAGGCAGGATATCTTCCTCAAGAGGGAGAGACACATGTGGCCCATAAGGCACTTTCTTTCCTCAGGAAGAAATGTTTAGCAGGGGAAAAAAGTAGATTGTGACTCAGGGGACTCAGTGGCCTTACTAGCTGGGTGGGTTTAACTGTTCTAGAAGCCATTTCCCTGAGCTGGGCCCATAATGGCTATAGTTGCAAAGACCGTAAACATGAACAGCAAGTGCTCAGTGAGAACAGAATCACAAAGGGGGCATCAGCATAATGTCATTCAGCTTCTCCCACCTAGGTAGTAAGTTATAATCCTATCTTCTTCCCATCCACCCAGCTTCACACCCATATTGGCATCAAAGGTATTTTTTTGACTTACTTCTTTAGACATGAAGTTTCTTTGCCAAGAAGGCACAAGAAAAGCAAGGCCCAAAGGATGTTGTGTAACTTCACATTGTTTGCATTTGGAAAAGACACATAAGGATAAGTTCTATCCCTGTCATTCCGGAGAAATGATGGAGGCAGGCTCAGAGCTGTGACCTGCCTAAGACTTCCTAATGTGCCGGAAGGACCCGCTTTATGTTTCCTGCGTAAAGCACCTGACATCAAACGTGTGCCGAAGACTTCATCTACGACCTTGCCACAAGTTATAACAAGCCTGGGGTGTGGACAAGGAGGGGTGCCTCGGAGAAGCCCTTTGCCGGATCAGCTGCAGGACTCTTGAGTGGGTGAGGATAAGAAGTGCTGGGGCAGCCCTGGGGGAGCCCTCCCTTCCCCTCCCACATCCCTAATCTCACTGCTTTATCCTCCTCATTAATTAGATTCTGCATGGGGGGGGGTGCATCTTCAGGTGCCTTTCTGCTTCATAACAGAAATATCAAACAAAATGTGAAAGATTGTGTGTTTATAAGGGCTTTGCGTTTGTTCCAATAATTTTGTTATAGTCCATTTACATACATATAGTTCGTTTACATATAGATTATTGTTGTCCAAGAGTAGTTGACTGGAAGGATGTAAAACATCATTTTAAGTAAGTTTCTCTGTCAGCATGTCCTCTGAGGGCAAAGGTCACATAGTTTCCTTTGCCGTAAAAGGGAAACACATGTGAGCTTTATGTCTTCCTGTGGGTTACAGCATTGGACAAGGCTATCTCAGCAACAGGACATCCCACAGACCTGGGCACTCAGAACTCTGGCTTACCAGGAGGACTCCTTCCACCTGGATGCAAGTGATCCATGTCCCGGGTGTGATGGAGAATGGGTCTGCAAAGCCCTTTCCAGGGACGGTGACAAAGGCTGGCTCCTTACTCGGGGGAAAGGTAATCTCTTTGCTTTGAGAAGCATCTATCAGAAAGACAAACAGCAGTTGAAGATGTTAGCAGTGGTATCTGGCCAGGCTTCAACTTCTTCAGGTTTATTAAATACGTACATATACTAATATCTACATGTACATATTTGACACAGAGTCGACTCCGTAGCACTAGCTGGCCTAGAACTCACCACAGAGCACACTGGTCTCAAACTGGTTATCCCCCTGCCTTTTCCCCTCAAGCTCTGGGATGACAGGGGCATATCACTACATCTGGCCAAGACTTATCTTTAGGAATGTATGTATTCAGATGTATGTATTCAGTATGTTATATGGCTTGTTGATTTCTTGTTTGTGTATAGGAGATGACCATTTTTCATTTTTATTCATGAGCATACATTCACTTTGCAATTAGAAATACCCCAGCTTTCTATTTACGTGTTTTCAGGATGTATTGTGTATTTCTTCTGCCGACAAACAAACTCTGGTGCCTGAGTCTGAGGGGTCTTCTGGAGAGGAGATGTTTGCACCAAATATCTGCATGACTCTCATTCTATAGATGTTTACAAAGGCCCACTGTGTGCCAGGCCCAGGGCTGTTTGCAGGCAATGCAGTGAACACAGCATGCATGGCCTCACTCCCTGGGCACACGAGAAGTGAGAGACAGAGATCAGAATGCAGAGTGAGCCCAAGTGCAGACAGTGGTTGTGGAGAGGAGAGGAGGCATGCATGCCTTAGGAACATGTGACAGGGCACCTGATTCAGATTTAGAGGAAACTGTCTCCGACAGCAGGAGAACAAGCCAAAACATATTCTAGTTGTGTGGACGGACAGAGGGCAGATTGCTGACACCACCCAGGAGCAGAGGGGTCTGTGTGGACGGACAGAGGTCAGACTGCGATGACACCCAGGAGCAGAGGGGTCTGTGTGGACGGACAGAGGGCAGACCACTGACGCCACCCAGGAATGAACAGAGAGGTCTGTGTGGACTGACAGAGGACAGACCGCGATGACACCAGGAGCAGAGGGGTCTGTGTGGATGGACAGAGGGCAGACCACTGACGCCACCCAGGAATGAACAGAGGGGTCTGTGTGGATGGACAGAGGGCAGACCGCTGACACCACCCAGGAATGAACAGAGGGGTCTGTTGAAATGAGCTTGGAGTCTACAGACTGTCCACTTGGACAGTTTGTTTTCTTTGGTCCACAAGGCTCTTAGGGCATGAGGCCACAAATGCTCAGGCTCCTTGCATTAAAGAGAGCCCATGCCGGGCGCTGGTGGCGCACGCCTTTAATCCCAGCACTCGGGAGGCAGAGGCAGGTGGATCTCTGTGAGTTCGAGGCTAGCCTGGTCTACAGAGCTAGTCCAGGACAGGCACCAAAACTACACAGAGAAACTACACAGAGAAACTACACAGAAAAGAGAGAGAGAGAGAGAGAGAGAGAGAGAGAGAGAGAGAGAGAGAGAGAGAGAGAGAGAGAGCCCACTAGAGCTCTCTAGTGGCTGTGAGCTGCTTAGCCTCCAGCCACACGTTTGGCTGACCCAACCTGGGAAGAGCTCCATTACTTCCCTCACTTCCAACTCTGGCATGCACGTGAAATAAGGATAGTTAACATCCCGATACAGAGTCAGGTTTCCATTAGCACAGCACTCTGTCCTTCTGGGATTCCAAATGATTTCTTGAGTTTGTTTCTGGGATTGGCTGTAGCCCTAATTCCATGGGTTTCCAGGCTCTGCCCCTGACTGCTGTGAGCTGTATCCTCTTCTGCTCACGAAGTCCTCACCTCTGAAGGAGTCTGCAGGTGTCTGGGCCTCTGCTGGGACTTCCTATTTTCTGACCTTCATTTTAAAATTCCAATCCTCCTCCATTTCACCTTGCTTGAAACCATGGGAGAATTAAGGGCAATATGCCAACAGCTCCCAAATAATACCCAAAAAAGGTGGCACCCACTTCCCCATGAGTGAGCTACACAGATCTGATTTTTATCACTAAAGGTATCGTGACCCGTGGGGTTGGGGTCTAGCCAACATTTGAGCATTGTTATGTTGATTTTTTTTTAACCAGAGTTAGAATGGGCTTTATTAGAAAAAAGAGGGGATAGGATGGAGAAGCCAGGCCTGGCGGAGAGGAAACACAGAAAGAGAGACACAGAGAGAGATGCAGAGAGAGAGCTGTTATGTTGATTTTTAAAATGACAACTGATGGTAATTTAACAGCAAAAGTAAAAGGAGCACAAAGTGAAGAGAAAGCAATGGTAATGGAGAGCTTGCAAGAGAACCGGCCAATCAGATGGTAAGAAAGGATGTAGGCCAGACATCCAATCACATGGTAAGGAAGGCTGCAAGAGAACCGGCCAATCAGATGGTAAGGAAGAGCATGCAAGAGAACCAGCCAATCAGATGGTAAGGAAGAGCATGCAAGAGAACCAGCCAATCAGATGGTAAGGAAGGATGCAAGAGAACCGGCCAATCAGATGGTAAGAAAGGATGCAAGAGAACCGGCCAATCAGATGGTCAGGAAGGATGCAAGAGAACCAGCCAATCAGATGGTAAGAAAGAGCATGCAAAAGAGCCATCCAATCAGATCTTGTCATGGGTTTAATGTTGTTTAAGGATGATGAACTTTGTGAAAACCAAAAGAATGCTATATTGATCCTTTCTCCATTGAAAAGAGGTGAAGCTAGGTTTAGAGGTTCATGCCTGTCCATCCAGCACTGGGAAGAAGAGCCACTCTGGGCTGTGTCATGAGACTTTGTCTCTAAAAACAAAAACACAGGTACAGAAAAGAGGCTTGAACTTGTACCTACCTGACTGTGCCCAGGACGGATAAACAGTGATGCGGCCGGATACTTCTTCAGTTCCAGGGTTGACGTATCTCAGAATAATGTGGAACAAGGAGAGATTTGACTTCCCCACAGTCAATCTCATCCTCACTTCATTCTGAAAAGCACCCCCCAAAACCCATGAAGTGTAGAAAAGTGACTGCGAAGAAATGCCAGCAAACCAGGGGCTTCATTTAAGTTTCCCTCTTAGACGTGCAAGGCACACACATGTGCACATGCATACACACTCAGTAAGTACCAAGTAGTAGGTAGAACTAGGCAGGCCTAACAAGAAAGCAAAGTCACTTACAGTTCCAGTGGCAGTGGAATGCACTCCCTCAGCAACTAGGGTTCTCTTTTGACCTTGTTTTGTGACCAGGCAGACAGAATGGAGTATTAGATGGACTAGTTTAAGAGGGTCACAGTGACGGGGTAACCACCACTGGCTGGGAAAATCAAAGGCAGAAGAGAGAGAAGGAAGGAAAGCATGTCACTTCACACCACCACTCATAAAGAGACCCTGCAAGCCCCACTTCACACCACCACTCATAAAGAGACCCTGCAAGCCTCACTTCACACCACCACTCATAAAGAGACCCTGCAAGCTCCACTTCACACCACCACTCATTAAAGAGACTCCTGTAAGCCCCACTTCACACCACCACTCATAAAGAGACTCCTGTAAGCCCCACTTCACACCACCACTCATAAAGAGACCCTGCAAGCCCCACTTCACACCACCACTCATAAAGAGACCCCTGCAAGCCCCACTTCACACCACCACTCATAAAGAGACCCCTGCAAGCCCCACTTCACACCACCACTCATAAAGAGACCCTGTAAGCCCCACTTCACACCACCACTCATAAAGAGACCCCTGCAAGCCCCACTTCACACCACCACTCATAAAGAGACCCTGTAAGCCCCACTTCACACCACCACTCATAAAGAGACCCCTGCAAGCCCCACTTCACACCACCACTCATAAAGAGACCCTGTAAGCCCCACTTCACACCACCACTCATAAAGAGACCCTGCAAGCCCTACTTCACACCACCACTCATAAAGAGACCCCTGCAAGCCCCACTTCACACCACCACTCATAAAGAGACCCCTGCAAGCCCCACTTCACACCACCACTCATAAAGAGACCCTGTAAGCCCCACTTCACACCACCACTCATAAAGAGACCCTGTAAACCCTGCTTCACATGCCTAACTCCACATCTAAATGGCTGCAGACAGTAATGGTGGAAGCAAAGATGAAGGACCCCTAACACATTTGTGGTAAAAACCTAGATGCAACTAAATATGCCTGTTTTGCCTGAGAAAGTTTTATCTCAAGCTTTTATCAATAAACAGAATTAGCTTTTGAACTTGAGGAGAGGTCTTGTGTATTCCCAAGCTCTGGGGTCACACAACACTCTGTAAGAATTAATAACACAGGGCTGGAGAGGTGGCTCAGTGGTTAAGAGCACTGGCTGCTCTTCCAGAGGTCCTGAATTCAAATCCCAGCAACCACATGGTGGCTCACAACCATCTATAATGAGATCTGGTGCCCTCTTCTGGCCTGCAGGGATACATGCAGACAAGAAATTGTATACATAATAATAAATAAATAAATCTTTTTTAAAAAAAGAATTAATAACACAAGTAAATTATCATTTATTTATTTTTTTTAATTTTTTTAAAAGATTTATTTATTTATTATGTTCACAGCATGTATGACTGCAGGTCAGAAGAGGGCACCAGATCTCATTACAGATGGATGTGAGCCACCATGTGGTTGCTGGGAATTGAACTCAGGACCTCTGGAAGAGCAGTCAGTGCTCTTAACCTCTGAGCCATCTCTCCAGCCCCTCATTTATTTATTAAGATTCATTTGTTGTATGTGGATAAGCATTTTGCCTGCATATATGTAGATGCACTGAGGTCAAAAGAGGGTCCCTTGACTGGAGCTGGGGATGCTTGTGGGCCACCATGCACTCCTGACTGCCGAGCCATCCCTCCAGCCCCGAGAATAAGTTATTTTTATTCAGAACCACAAACCACGTGTCCAGATCCAGCTGTGGTCCCAGGGAAGTTCACAAAGTGTTGGGATTTTCTTTACTCCCTCTCCAGCTAGTTTGGGTTCAATGCAAAGGATGTGTGTTGAGTGAGGTAAAAGGACAGCGAAGGCTAAATTCCAGGTGATCCCCAGCTCCGACACAGGAGTGTGAACGGGGCCCATGCAGGAATTCCCACCAGCCCTAAGAGTTTGGTTGAATTCATTTCAAGTTCTGATACCAACTGGGAAATAAATGCACAAGGCCGCATTCAAAGAGTAAAGAAAATGGCCATGGAAGGGACGCCGCAGCTCCTCTGACCCAAAGACTGCTCACAGAGGGGATGGTTAGAAATGGAGTTCTTTGGGTCAACGTCAAACGCCTGTGAGGACACCTAGGCCGGGCTGTATCAGGATTGATAGAATCACCATGACTCTAGAATAGTGAACGCCCACAAAAGAAACAGAATTGGGGAACGAAGCAGTTAGAGCTCGTGGAGAACGTGGTTTGTTCCCAGCACCCACGTGCCGTGGCTCACAGCTGCCTGCAACTCCAGACACCAAGGACCTAACACTCTCCTCTGGACTCTGCAGGCACCTGTGCTCACATGTGTGCACATCCCCAGTGCACCTGCACTCACATGTATGCACACCCCCAGTGCACCTGCACTCACATGTGTGCACGCCCCCCAGTGCACCTGCACTCACATGTGTGCACACCCCAGTGTACCTGCACTCACATGTGAGCACACCCCCAGTGCACCTGCACTCACATGTGTGCCCACCCCCAATGCACCTGCACTCACATGTGTGCACACACCCCAGTGTGCACTCACATGTGTGCATACCCCCAATGCACCTGCACTCACATGTGTGCACATCCCCCAGTGTGCACTCACATGTGTGCACACCCCCGTGTACCTGCACTCACATGTGAGCACACCCCCAGTGCACCTGCACTCACATGTGTGCACACCCCCCAGTGCACCTGCACTCACATGTGGGCACACCCCAGTATACACTCACATGTGTGCACACCCCCAGTGCACCTGCACTCACATGTGTGCACACCCCCCAGTGTGCACTCACATGTGTACACACCCCCGTGTACCTGCACTCACATGTGAGCACACCCCCAGTGCACCTGCACTCACATGTGTGCACACCCCCCAGTGCACCTGCACTCACATGTGTGCACACCCCAGTATATACTCACATGTGTGCACACCCCCAGTGCACCTGCACTCACATGTGTGCACACCCCAGTATACACTCACATGTGTGCCCACCCCCAGTGCACCTGCACTCACATGTGTGCACACCCCCCAGTGTGCACTCACATGTGTACACACCCCCGTGTACCTGCACTCACATGTGAGCACACCCCCAGTGCACCTGCACTCACATGTGTGCACACCCCCCAGTGCACCTGCACTCACATGTGTGCACACCCCAGTATATACTCACATGTGTGCACACCCCCAGTGCACCTGCACTCACATGTGTGCACACCCCAGTGTACACTCACATGTGTGCACACCCCTCGTGTACACATAACTTAAAGTAGAATGAATCTGTTTTAAAAGCCTAGTGTGGTGCGCACCTTTAATCCCAGCACTCAGGAGCAGGGCAGGGGATCTGTGAACTGAAGGTTGGTCTGATCTGCACAGTGAGTCCCAGGTGAACCAGGGCTACACAGTGCGACCCCAGGTCAGAAAGAAAGAAATTCCATTGGTGTGGATACAAGAAAGGGGAATGTGGGGTGCCTCACAGTCCTGTCGTCTGCTAAAGCCAGCTTCAGTCGGGGAGAGTCCACAGGAGCTCCAGGAGAGCTGTGGGCTGGCCCGGGCTCTCTGTGACCTGCCAAGGGCAAGCACTGAGTGACCACGGCCCTCAGGTCCTTCTCGTCCTCTGATTTTCTCTATCTAGAAGCAGCTTGAGGAGACCAGCCTCGAAGAGAAGTTCAATGACTCGACATGACTATAATATTGCATAAGTGCTCCAGATAAACAAATAGTGTACACATCTCTTATTCCACCGTGAAGGCAAGATGGATGGGCGCAGCAGAGAAAAGTGGAGGGAAAGAGGAAGGGAAGAAGAGCTGGCCAACGCCAAGCGCATCGTTTACCATGGTCTCCACTCAGGGAGTAATTGAGTTTGAAAAGCACCGCCCCAAATCAGCGACCCCAGGCAGGGGAGTGACACACAGCTGGTATTGTGGCATCTAGGAGGCCAGTGTAGGCCAGCCTGAGCCACACCGCCAGACTGTCAGATGGAGGAGGAGAAGGATGAGGAGGCTAGCTTTTTTAGAAGTCCTCAAGTCAACTCATTTTTATTTCCCAAAATGGCATTAAAGAAAAATGGCCTCTATGTTTTAATATAGTCTAATACCATTTAAGAAATTTCCCTCTATGGAAAGCCTCCAGAGACAAATACTTTATTTCTTCATTTTTCTGATTTAGTGGTCAAATTATAGTAGCAATAAACTGTGAAATCCAAGTATATGCATATTAATTAAAATCTTTCCCTATCCTAAATCCCAAGCCTAGCCTTCAAGCCAACCCTGGCCAGTACTCTGGAGAAAATGAATCCTGGAATAGGTCTGGGGCAGTGTGGCTTTTAGGACTGTGAGGGTGTTGTGGGCATACACATGGGTCCCCTGCAATGAGCTGTGGCCCTCTGGCTACATACCTGTACCGAGCTCATTAGGGCATATCCTCTCCAGCTAAACTCAGGGAACACCATGGGATCAAATCCAAACCGCAAGTCTCTTCCATTAGGTCCAGCGCCATCTTCAACCTCATGCTTCATGTGGTGCAAATCCGGGAAATAGTAGTTATTTTCGGGCCTTCACAAATCACAAGTAAATGTGGACATAAGAAGTTAGGTGTGTCGGTAATCTGATGTCCTCTCCTAATAGACACTGAAGGAATGCTGCCAGCTGACTAAACCCATTACATAAGAACAGAGGGAGGTTGTCCCCACTGCTGCTCTAAATGATTCTTTCATTCAGGGAAACGCTGGCACAGAGCACACTCAACACCTGCTCATTCCAAGCACTAAATTGAGGAAGTCATTTAGCACAAGTCATGAGGTCCTCAACACACCCTCGACTGTGTTATTTTTTTTTTTTTTTTTTTTTTTTTTTGGTTTTTTGAGACAGGGTTTCTCTGTGTAGATTTGTGCCTGTCCTGGATCTCGCTCTGTAGACCAGGCTGGCCTCCAACTCACAGAGATCCGCCTGGCTCTGTCTCCCGAGTGCTGGGATTAAAGGCATGTGCCACCACCGCCCGGCATCGACTGTGTTCTAATGGTTGCCAACAGTGAAAATCAAATATATTGACTTACTATTGGCTCACTCATTCAGTCATTCACACACTCATATTTACATATTTTACATCAGTAACTATGCCAGGCACTGTCCTAAGCATCATCATATAATACCTTATATATTAAACACACATAATTTTTATTATAGTCTTGAGTGTTTTTGTGTGTGTGCTTGTGCGTGTTTGTGTGTGTGTGTGTGTGCACAGATGAGGAGGATTTATGGAGGTCCGAGGACAACTTGCTGGGTTGGGTCTCTCCTTCCACTGTGTGGGTCCTGATGATTGAACTAGGGTGGCCGGGCTTGGCAACAGGTGTCTTTCTCCTCTGAGCCCTCTGTAGTTAATGAGTGGGTTCCTTTGACAAGTCCAACTGTGGCAATCACAGAGAATGCTCAAAAACACCCCGTGCTATGTGGCCTCCACACCCAAACTACTCGAGTTCTTCAAATCAATATACATGCCAATCTGGTAAGATGGGTAAGAAGCTAATAACACTTAGTGGATTTAAAGACATAAAGATCCGTCAGTCAATGGGAATAAAAGCCATACGCCTGTACTGTGAGCACTGAGGAATGCTTGCATCGCCTCAGAGGACTGACAGCAATCCAGGAGGAGGGTTTGTTCCAGCATCTTAGCAATTCATCCAGGAATCCATTCTAAAGAATTAACGCAAACATGACTGAACCAAGATTATAAACTAAATAAATTATAAAATATTCTATAGGCATTAATATTTTGAGGACGTTTTAATTTTATAAAAAATGCTTATGATACATACAATTTGAAAATTTGATTTTAAAATTTGCATGAAAAATGTCATTGGCCCCTGACTGAGAAAGAGCACAGCCAAGCGGCCCTGACTTTTAGAATCCAAGTGTTTGAGACACTGAGGGAGAGTCACAGCCAACAGCACTCAGAACTACTCCAAAGAGTGCTTTAATTAATCTGTTGATGGAGCCGGTGAAGAAGGTGCGTGAGATTTTGAAAACCTTGCCTTTCTTGGAGTTTCAGCACATGATTAAAAGCCAGAGTTTAGATTTCAATTTCTCCTCCTTCCACTGAGGAAAAACTTACAGTAGGATCATCACCCAGAGACACACGTGCACACAGTCCCCACTCCAGGCCTTCGTCCTTCCTGCTTTTGTTCTTAGCACTCCTTTCCAGCTGCTTCTGTTTCAAGACTTTCCCCACCGCCTTATTGTAATCACCGCCTTATTCCAATCACCACCTTATTCCAATCACCGCCTTATTCTAATCACCGCCTTATTCCAATCACCGCCTTATTCCAATCACCCGACTTCACTCCCTCACTCAAGGGAGACAAACAGGAACTGAATGTCATTGCTCCAGAAACCTGGGCCTCTGTGTCTGGTGCCTCCATGCTGTGGCTGGTAGAGAGGCCCCAGCTTCCAGTGGGCACAGTGCACACTGGGTTCTTACACCTGTTTGCTTCAAGCCTGGGGACTTCAGGGTGCAGGGGCTTCGGAGCTTACACCACAGAACTGGCTTCTGTGGGCATCCCAGTCTCCTGTTCTAACTAGCGCACGGTCACATGTCCAGGCTCTAGTTGTATCAACGGCTTCATCTGCCTGCTTAGGATTGCTTCTCTCTTCTCTACCCCAGGATCAGCACAGACGGGGAAATGGGAGGTGGCCTCAGTAGCTTGAGAGTTAAAGAAACTTCCCCAAGACTCACCTCTGGCACTCTTTTCCCACAACATGCTCTCGGCACTGGCATTCTCCTGAGGGCCCACTACACATGGTGGTGAGTGATCCACCAATGTCACACTGACACCCTAAAAGTCAAGAAACAGCTGGGTTACTGCCAGGTGTTTTCTTCCCCTTCCCCGTGAGAAGACAGCTCTGATATTCTCTGCAATGATGGCTGCTTTCTTTCCTCTGCCATACCTTAAATCAGGCAGGGATGTCCCAAACAAAGATGGCCTGTCCCCTCAAAGGTCTACCTCTAATTTCAAGAAGTGTGACTATCGGCCAGCAGGTGGGTATGCTGTTGCCCAGTGGAAGATGAGGCCAGGAGTTAAACATGGTTAAGTAGCCTGGGAAGAGGGATCGGTGAATGAAAGGCTTCCCATACAGACATGGAAAGGAAGAGGGATCAGTGAATGAAGTGCTTCCCACAGACATGGAAAGAGTAATGTAACTAAGGGTGCAGAGACAGGAGGATCCCTGGGACCAGTTGATCAGGGATAGTCAAGCAAGCTCCAGATTCAGTAGAACTGGGTGGAGATAAGTGAGGGGGTGCCTGACATGGACCTCTGGCCTCCATACACAGACGCACACACATCCATGAACATGACACACACATAAAAGAAACAGCACGGCTGTGATAATGTTCATGAGGAGGCCCATGTGGAAGTCTGGAGCAGCCTCACAGACTAGCCACTTCTAGAATTTCATGATTTAGTACAACTCTATATCTAAGTATCTAGCTTTTTAGATAATAGAAGTATAGCTTCCAGGTGACTAACTCTTGGAGTTAGCTAACATTAGCATGGGCCCTCCATCCCACGTATGCATTTTGGAGTTGATCCTCCAGTGTTCTGGTAGAAGAGAAGTGGAGACAGCACTCTTTGGGGTTCACTGAAAGTATCAACTGAAGCCCTAGCCGAGTTCTCAAGAAGAGTGTCTTAGCACCATCCCTGAAAGTCAGCCGCCGCTGGTCAAGGCACGGTCTGGCAGCCTGCGTCCTCCACCTTGCTCAAGCCCTGCCCTACGCATTTACCTTGACAGCCAAAGTAATTGCTCTTCTCCAAAGCAAAGTATCCATCTTGGCAGGTGTCACAGGCATCACCAGTCACGTGAGCTTTGCAGCTGCAGTCACCATCTCCCTGGGGAGTAAAGGAGCCAGGAGGCAGTGTTTGAGACGTAGGACTTACCTTCAGGGTGGAAAACAGGCTCAGCACACAATAGGAAGCAGTGGAGCCAGGACTGGAAAAGTATGCCCGTGGCCAGGATGACTAGTGAGGGGCTGGAACCCTCCGCCAGGAATCCCACAGTCAACCAGAGCAGCATCTTCCAGTCATCACATGACAAACTGGCCTCTTACCTGCCCACACTCTCCAATTCCACTCACTGTCCCTGCCTCATGGCACTGGCATTCTGTGAAGACAAAAGACAGTGTCTATGAGCCAGGGGTTTCACCAGAACAGTTCCCTGCCCTAGGGATGTCACATGCCTACAATATAACTTGTGTGATTGGCCTTCCCTGTGGACCTAAGCAACATCCAGCCTGCACTTCTGGGTTCTAAAATGGGATTGCTTTCTGAGGTTAGTTAGGTTAGATAGGTCAATCAACAGAATCCATCTAGAGTAATGGCTGGCTTATGGCTACTCCAGCACAGAGTTTATAAAGGTTTCCAGTGCCAAGGTCATTATTGACGTGTCTATATAAAAATACACTCTACCCTAAGATAGTTGCTTCACTTAGACATTTTACTTAAGTGTTTTAAACTTGGCATCTGGCTTTACTAATTGTTCAAAATGAAGGTGCAGTAGTATATGCCATTGCTACAATATGTACATAAGTAAGCCAGAAAGAGCGGTCTATGAGAACAAAGAGCAGACAGGCATTTATTAAGTGGCTGCCTTGTCAAATAACAAGATTCACATGGAAACAGTATAGATAAGTCTTTGTGTGAAAATGACAGAAGTTCTGCCCCAGATGGAAGTGGGGGACACCAAGCATTATGCAGCATGGTGAACACATCAAACTGCTTTAACGGAGTGCTCTCTTGTCAATGTGGCCACCGAGGAGACAAAAGTAAAGAGGTAACGGCACGGCAGGACAGGGCGGTAGAGGAGACAGCGCACCTGAGCATCCACTGGGGTTTTCTTTGGCCAGATTCCAATATAAAGGTTTGCAGACACTACACGTAGGACTTGTGACATGGAGCTTGCACTGGCAATAACCCTGGAAATGAGAATCAGACTGACACTTGGCATCTCAAAATTAAGACCTGTTTCAAATGCATGTTTTTGAGCAAAGCTTTGTCACCAAAATTAAATTTGACCATGAAAAATAAGTCAAGGGGTTCACTAAAGCACAAGGTTGCATTAAAGAGTCTTCTGAACTTCAACAACAACAACAACAACAGGTTTGTTTTTATTTGATACATTTGAGTGTTTTACCACACACTATGTGGGTGCCTAGTGCCCAGGGAGGCCCGAAGTAGAGGACCTGATCTCCTAAAACTGGAGTTAAGGATGGCTGTAAGTCACCACGTGGGTGCTGGGAATTAAACTTCCTCTGTAAAGTAGTGAAAGCTCTTAACTACGGAGCCATCTCTCCAGCCCCTGAACTTTTTCAGTACGCACTTACATTTTACACGAATAACTAACAAATGTGGTTAAAAGGAGTCAGAAAATACAGAGAAGGAAAATCTGAAGATCTCTCTTGTTTAAAACATTGTGATGTCTGAGAAGATGGTTCAGTCACTAAAAATGCTTTCCTTGTAGGTGTGAGGGCCCAAGTTTGATCCTCAGAACCCACATTTTAAAAGCCAGACATGATGGGCAAGCAGTTCCTGTGCTGGGACGTGAAGACAGGAAGATCTTTGGGACTCACTGGCCAGAAGCTTAGCCTGCCTGGTAAACTGAGCCAGTGAGAGACCTGTCTCAAGATGGTGGATAATCCCTGAGGAATGACATCCTAGGCTGCCCTCTAACCTCTAAATACACACATGAGTACACGTACCCATACCTAACGTGCATACATACACATGCATGTGTGTGCACACACAAACCGTGCCAGTATCTGTTAATGCTGTTACACTATAGACTGCAAATTTATTGAAAGACTCTGAGCGTCTCACAGAGAGACTGATTCTCTGAGTGCTTTTATGAGATGTCAAATTCCTGTGTGGCTTCAGTTGTCATCAAACCCCACAGCAGGAACAGCAGGACCTCCTGCCACTTGTCCTCCGGGGTCTGCTGTCCCTTCCTAGGTTGTGAGGCCACGAAGAGGGGGGCAAGTCCTAAGCGTCCTAGGAAATTGTTCAAAGCATCACAGTATGTGCTTGGAATGAAACAGAGACTGTGTGATGGCTTTGTGAGTGGCCAGCTTTATGTCACAAGTTCTTGGCCAATGATTGAGCCTGGATGGCTCTTCATGATGGTAACACCCTCACAGAAACCTCCAGGAAGAGCTAACTCTGGGACTCTAGGATACAAAATCTAAATAAACCTTATTCTTTTGTTTAAAAAATATAAACCTCACAAACTACATATACATCTTAAAAAAGAACCATGGCCTCTTTAAGCAATGGATTGGTGTCTTACATTAATTTCAGGAAGTTTCCACATGGTTAGTCTTGACCTTTTACATAGATTCCCCTACTTACCAAGCTGGAGTCAACGGTCCCAGCTGGGTCACAAATACTGCTGGATCCTGTATATGATTTAGAAATGTTACAAATGTCTGGCTGATGGTTTTGACATTTCAAAAAACTTTAATTTTGCTTTTTTTTTTAAAGTGCACCTACATTTATGTTTTTTTGGTTTTTTTTTTCTTTTTGGTTTTTCGAGACAGGGTTTCTCTGTGCATTTATGTTTTTGATAGCTGAGTGGCAAAGCCTGTGTGTGACTCACACTGAGGCACACCTGGTGGTCTTTATGATACTTATCTGCAATGACATCATCTGTCACTCAACAACTCTGCCCTGCCTGGGAATACACCTTCCTTTCTTTGTTTAATGTTTTCTATATTTTATTTTTAATGTATATTTTAGCTTACTTTTGAAAATTACATGCAATATTTTGATCATAGTCTTTCCTCTCCATCAGCTCCTCCCAAATTGCCTCCTACTTCCCTACTAAACGTCCTTTCTAATGGGAGGTTAGGGACAACTGAAATTTTTAGCATCTTTAGAATTGTCCAGAAGAGGGCGATATTGCATTTCTTTTTTAATATTAAAAAAAATTTTTTTTTCTTAATTGTGCGGCAAAAGAAGTTACAGAATTCCTAAGTTCATTTTGTAACTGGGAGATAATTATCATCACCCCCTGTCCCCACGAGCACTGACGTTCTTGGTGACCTCCGCTGTAGCTGAGCGCTTGCTACGTCTCAGCATCACACGGACAGCAGGTTGGTTGAGCGTGCTTCTCAGGCTAGGTTTCTCATTGGAACATGTCCATAACTGGGCCATCTGTCCTTACAAACGGCCCCTGAGCTTTTCACCTTCCTTTCTTTGTTATGTTTGCCTCAGTTTCTAATCACGCGCGCCCCCCCCCCCCCCCCACGCTCTGATCCATTTTTCTCTAGCAGCTCCACACCCCATTTTCTCTCCTTTTGTTTTCCATACTGACCGTGGCCAGCCCAGGGCTCCTCCAGGATGGCCAAGGTCACTCTCCAGCTCCAGCACATTCATGACTACTCTGCCTCTGCCACAGCACTTACAGGCCTGAGGCCTTCTGGGGACAAGCCCCTGTCACTGCTCCCTGCAGTTTCTACCCTCAGGAAAATCTGGTCTGCAGAATGCTGATTGGGAAAGTTCTGGAAAACGTTGTGTGCTCTTCTACCTGGTTCCACCCAGCTCTGGATGCTACACCCTTAGTGTCACCAGGAGCAGGAGGGTACCCACAAAAACCACATTCTCCTTGGAAAGTCAGCACAAGAGACCTCTGCAATCCCCAGGTGGAGCTAGGGTACACCCTGGGGCTGCCCACACAAAGGAGTCTGGGGGAAATGTGGGCAGCTCGTGTGTTGGGGGAAGGACAGAACACAGCACTCAGCCCACAGCAAAGATCCTGCGCAGCCCACATCAGCACTGAAGCCACTAGGGACAGAAGGCTTGATTGACACCTTGACATGGCCGGGGTTTGAGGGGTGCCAAACAAATACAGGGGCAGATGCCATCGGGCCACCTTCACCGTGCTGATGCGGAGAAGTGACGTGTGAACCACGAAACCCAGATATTTTATAAATGGAATTTAAATTGTTCTCATTAGGCACTAACTGTCTCTGAGGTTGAGCATGTGATGGATGTGTGTTCAGTGAGGTTAGCCAGGGGCACACTGAACCAAATAGCTAGGGTGGCTAGAGTCAATTTGGAGAAGACTGGCCAAGCTTCTCGGAGAGGCGGGCTACACCTACTCAGATGAGAACCATGCCTCCAATATGCTGCTAGCTTCCTTACCTCGGCAGGAGGGGAAGTCGTAGGCTCCTGAGAGACACCTGTCACACTGCCTTCCTGTCACTCCAGGCAGGCACTCACACTGGCCAGTCACCGGGTCACAGGGTACTGGATAGGATCCAACAGTCGAGCACTGGCAAGCTGTGAGAAATAGCTTGATCAGACAATACAGGGCAGTGTCCTGGATGGGACTCCTCGGAGAGGGCCAGAAAGACACAAATTCAAGTTCCAGATTCACATCTTTGATTGAACTAAGCCTCAGTTTCCCCTCCCTTAAATGGACCTTATACTGGCATCTACTTGCTAAGGATTGAAGAATCCTCAACAGATGAATGATGTTCCTGCCATAGGCAAAGAGCCTTTGAGGGGCGAGACTGAGACCATGCTGTCCGCTTTCATTCCCAGCAGGGTGTGGGCCTATATGGGACTTATTCTGATGGGGCTTTTTAGTATGGATGACAGTGACTAGCAAGTGTTTGATCTGCTGTCACTGTAGTCATAAACTCGCTGAGGGACTGGAATGAGGGGGGGTCTCCTCATTCACACATGACCTGGGAATCCACCAGGCAGGTGCCACTTTCTCTGAGATACACAGATATCAGAGAGTGTGTCTATCCACCATCTATATCCACCATCCCAGCAGACAGCGCTCAGCATTCTACCGTACTTAACGGTTGCATGGCTAGGTGTTGTGTTGCAGGGAAATATAAAAATACACACTCCCAATCTTGAATAGTTCCAGAAGGGGAATTAGAGAATTAGTGACAGGGTGAAGAGCCCTATCCCCCACAGAGCTATGTATGAGAAATGTGCCTAATGCTGCTCTACCAGCTGTTGGCGGGCACCCCAACAAGGACACGGATACCTGGCTGCTGTCTCTACTAGGGCTCCTTCCCGGCCCTGCGGCCCCACCAAGCCTATCTGTCTCTCTGTCCAGGGCTCCTTCCCGGCCCTGTGGCCCCAAAGAGCCTGTCTATCTGTCTAGGGCTCCTTCCCGGCCCTGTGGCCCCACCAAGCCTCTGTTTGTAGACCAAGTTCCTACCTTGTGTAGATTCTGAGGAAATGTTCTTGGCCTCTGTGACTGTTGCTTTTATGAGTCAGCCAGGCCAGGCCGTAGTAGCCAGATGTTTGATCAAACACTAGTATCAATGTTGCTAAATGTGTTTTTCATATGAGATTAACATTCAAATCAGTAGACTTGCTAGACAGAGTATACATGCCTGTAATCTCAAAACTCTGGGAGACAGAGGCAGGAGAATTTCTGCAAGTTTCAGGTCAGCCTGGGCTATACAGTAAGTTCTGGGCTAGCCTGATCCTATTATATCCCTTCTGTCTCACATACACAGACACTGGTACAGACACACAGAGAGAGACAGAGACAGAGACAGAGACAGAGAGACAGACAGACAGACAGACACACACACACAGACACATAGACACACACAGAGAGACATACACACACAGACACACCCACCCACAGAGAGAGAGAAACAGACAGACACATGCAGACAGACACACAGACACACACACACACACACACACACACACACACACACACACACACACAGACATACACATATAACACACACAGTAGACTTTAAGAAAATCAGATTATATTCCATGATGTAGAGAGGCTTTATCAAATCAGGTCAAGGCCCTTACAGAAAAAAGACTGTTCCCCTAAAGGTGTTCTGCCTACAAACAGCCTTTAGATTCAAATTACAAAAATGTCTATCCCTAGTCTGTCTCTTTCTGCTGGCTTTCCTTACAGATTCTGAACTTAACAGCTAAATGAATAACTGTGTAACTAAATCAATCAATTTTCTCTCTCTGTGTATGTTTGAGCATGTGAGGTGGATCAGCTTCTCTGGAGTCAAACACAGATTTTGGTTTCTTTTCAACTGTTATCAGTGCAGATATAGTCTGATTTCTTGAGGGACAGACTCTGATGAGTGCATTCTGAGTCGGTGTGGGGGCTTCTGGAATAAAATGGCTTTCTAGCCTGACTACCTACAGAAGCATTATTGACTGTGTCCTTCAATGACGAGATCTGTGACAATCCATACCTTGGCGTGATAACACAGATGCAAACATGTTGCTCCTGTGTGCTCCTAATCAAACACATATGAAGTCACTATCCTAAGTATTTGATAACTGAGGGTTTTGTCTTGTTTGTCCACTAATGACTAAACGACATTAGCTGCTTGCTTCTTATTGTGCTGCACAGGGTAAAGGCAGAACAGAAGAGTTCTAGGATTTGAATGCTCAGTTCACACACAGCATAAATGCCCCCATAGCTTGCATGTCTTTCCCAGTGGAGGCCCTAATCTTCTACAGCCTCCAGGCAGAGATTATGTAGTGGAGCTCTCATCCTGGACTGGCAGAATTACAAGACAAATCCAATTCTCAGCCTTGCAAAGTATCTGTAGGAAAAGTCAAGGAAGGACTAGCATAATCATCATTGTCAACGTGGTGGGGTTCGGAACCACCTAGGAAACACCCCTCTGGGCTGTCGGGGGTCTTTCCAGAGAGATTTAGCTGAGAAGGAGGCACAGTCTGAATGTGGGTAGTAACATCTCATTTGCTGAGGACTCAACTGAAAAAAAGATGTGAAAAGAGGAATCGCTGGGTACCAGCATCCATTCCCCCCACTTCCCGACTGTGGATGCAATGGGAGCGGCCCATCCCTGTGTGTGCCTCCATGCCTTCCCCGCCATGATGGATGGCCCCCTCAACCGGGAGCCAGAGTAGACTCTTCTATCGGAAAGCTGCTCGTCGGATATTCTGTCACAGCAGCAGGAAGAGTGACGGACAGTCTTGTAACTTGGGGAGATCAGGATGCAGACAATGACCCTGAGCCCTCCATCCCATGAATCTGTCTGTCAATAGAAACAGCCCCTCTGCCAGCATCTGGGAGGGTCACCTGTTTTGCCTATTGAAACTGCAGTTGCCTTGAAGAAGGAGCTGCCTTGCAAAGGCTGAGATGCTCCTCAGGACCCACCCATCACCCTTGTTTCCCTCTAGACTGCTCGCTAGACTCAAACCCCAATAAGCCCTAAAAGTGGGGTCCACAATGTAGCTCACAAGGAGGTGTACTACATTCCAAAACAACTTTGAGTATGTGTTTTCCAATTTAAATAGGCCTGTATTATTATATGAGGATTCTCTCATATAATATTAATTATTATTATATTAATATAATATATAATAATTAATATAATATTATTAATATTATATTAATATTAATTAGGAATGTGGGAACCAATGCCATGGAACTAGAAAACGTAAATGCAGGGAAGCTCCTGGGATAGCAGGAGTCAAACGTCTGTGCCTAATAACCACCCAAATCAAGAAGGATGGAGTTACCATGACAGACAAGAGAGTCAAAATGGCCCAGCAAAATTAACCACCCCCCACACAGGGACCCAGGGTGTTGCTCGCCCACTGTGTGTTCCTGGACGTGAAGCTGCTGGATTCTTACGTGAGCTGTTCAGAGGGACAGCTCTAGGAAAGACAAAGACTAGCTCCAAGTGTAAGAACAGAGAATCACGTCCCAGTAACGAATTCCCAGACGAGCCAGTTTACAGCCTCCAGAATGCCTAAGTGATGGGGAGTCTAGATCCTTTTGAGGAAGGAGCTCACCGCACTGCCCCACATTTTTAGTTTATCTCTTTCCTAGCCTTCTCCAAAGAGGTCCACGGCCTTTCAACACAGTCCCTGTGCTTGGGGGAAAGAAAGTTATCAGAACTTCCAGAGGTTATTGGAAGCTGGCACTAAATGACACTAATTTTAGGAGACTCCAAATGTTACCATGTCACTACTGTCCCAGTATGGAGGTCAGGTGATCAATGAGGTTTACCTCACATCCACCTCTCAAACCTGTCCTGTGGTTATTTCCCCAGTTCCAGAATTTATAGCTAGAATAGTTAACCCATCAGCTGCCAAAATAGTCACAGTGATAATGGGGAAGGTCAAGTGGAGGTCATTAGACAGACCTCTGCAAGGTTCTCCAGATGGCAATGTGTGCCCTTAGTGTGCCCAGAATGTGATGCTGCTTCTCGAACAACCAGGATGCATGGGTCTGGGAAGCACAGCATGGGAGTTGGCACAGCATCATTCCCCATTACCCAAGGGACACTCTTAGCTTCCCTTCCTGTCCCAGTTTGTGCTCAGCAGACCTATAGACATTGGTTCCACAGAGAAGGGCGTTCCCACCAGGGAACCCACGGCAATTCCACTGAATTAGAACTTCAGATGGCTACCTGTGCCTTGGGCTCTTCGTGCTTCACAATCAGCAAAGATGGAGGTGATCATTTTCCTTGATGGCTAAGGGGGAAATGGGGCTGCTACGCCACCATGGAAGGAAGGAGAACTCGTCTGGAGTACAGGCGATCCTGTATCATGTCAGGCAGAATGATGACCTTGCTGTAGATTTTATTCAGAGATAAGGTGTGGTGTAGAGACACGTGCTGTGGAATAATCCCTTTGTACACTGTAATATGTATCACTCTCATTGATGAGTGTCAAGGGAACAAGGGACCAACTGTGTCAGTTTTAGGAGCCATTCTGGCTAGGGCACGGTTTCCAGGTGTTTGGCTAGATACCAGGTGAGGAGGTTTAGATGAAATTAGCATTTCAATTGGCAGACTTGGGTAAAGCAGAAGACCTTTCATTGTGTGTGGGTGCCATCCACTCCACCAAAATCCTCTAGAGGAAAGACTGAGCACTTCCTTAAGAAACGAAAGGCACTCCTTCTCCAGACATGTCTTCTGATCTTAGCGGGGGTGGGGTGGGGGTGTGCATCAGCTCTGCTCCACCCTGCCAGCCTACACTGTGGATTTCAGACCTTCCAGCACCCACTGCCCAGAGCCAGGTCCTTACAGTAAACCTCTCTGCACACACCCATGCCGGGTTGCAGGCGAAGCCTGGCCAGTTCAGGCTCGCTCTTCTACTTCTGCCTTAGGGGAGTGAATGCAAACAGAAAGGGAGCATAAAGGTGTCGGGGCAGCTGCCTGGCACACAGGTGCCCCTCTACTGCATATGGGTGGCACAGACACCGCCCTTAGGGCCACGGAAGCTGCCCCAGGACATGTGGCCACACACTGGAGGTGAAAATGAAGACTTGACCTTAGACACACGTG